GGACAAAACAGGTACTTTTTCTGAACAACAATAAATGCATCGTAGAGGCATCATTAACCTGAGAAGTTCCTGCAGCAAGTAGCCTCAGGGTGCAAAAGGCACCAGCAGTGCAGGTAAGCCATCACAGGTGGTCCCCAAGCTTCTTCACTGGTGGCATTCCTACGTTCCCAGGTATGTTACATGTCTTAATTAGGTTCACAGAGCAAAACACCAATACCCAAGAACACCACAAAGTAACCTCCAACTCCCAGCTAAAAGACCTGCTGATATCCTTTTCCCTCTCTGTGCTAGGGCCACGAGTCACAGCAATGTGCCTTTTCTTCCCAAGTGCAGAGCAGGACACCGTGGCTGTAGACGTGTAGATGCTACAATATATGCTGATGCAGAAGGAGTCAGTCTCCACGGCTGAGAAGGTATGTACCAAGAAAAAAGCCTTATTTTCTTCCAAATATTGCGTGAGAACCCCCTGCATCCCTTACCTGGGGGATATGAGAGTATAGTCTGCACTGGTATGGCCCCTCCTTTGTGGGACAGAATGTGAGTTCAGATTGCAGGTGTGTGCTTGGTTTACTCCCTCTCCTGCTAAAGCCTGTCTGCTCTGGAACAAAAGCCTGCATGCCAGTATAACTATACAGTCATAATGGGTGTGCTTGGGAACACGATTGCTTGTTTCATGCAGTTACCTTTTCAATGCATAGACAATACCTTGGGTTTTCTGTGCATTTACTCTATGAATATGCCTGGAAAGGAACACGTAACAGTAAGTTAGCAAGGCATCCATGTGTATAGATAAACAGTTTTCCCACGGAGAAGGCACTGTATGTTTGGTCAGTCATGCAGGCACACCCCGAATCCCCCTATGCCACAAACGTATCTTGGCTTCCCAAAATAAAATAATCAGTTATAAAAAGCCGCCCTGGACTGGCTCCTGTCTTCACCAGCTGTCACCTATTTAATCTCCTCTCCCTTTCCATGTTTGTTCAGAAATATCTCTCTGTCAGTGCAGCTGGAAAGGTCGCTACTAATGGGTGGCCAAAGCCTGAATGCTGACAATGTGAGATGATTACAAGCGCCTGAAGAGCAAACATGCAGATTTTTCAACAGAAAGGTCTCCTGCTGCCCTGACAAGGTTCTGAGGTACCACTCAGGACAGTGGTGGCGATAAAAAAGGGCTAGTGTCAACTCGAGAGGGGAGGCCACAGAGTTCAACAGTAGCTCCTTGTGGAAGCTGCTAAACTCAAGAGTTTTGACTTTTCTAACAGGAGGTGATGGCATAAAAGGCACTGAAATTAGTTGCTTGACGTCAAGGAGGGTCACTTAGTTTATTTTCATTTTGAAGTGGTATGAACAGAAATGACTGAGCTGGTAGAAAGCAAAGAGACTGAAGCACCACAACTCCTCCACCACCCCTCCTTGGGCCAGCCAATGACTGTGATCTCTCTTCCCCTTATAGCGTGATACCTGCTGCTGTAGCAGCAACTAGAGGGAGCAGCTCCACATCCCCAGGTCCCCCCAGCCCACCATAGCCGGTGGGGAGCACAGCCATCTCCCCTAGTTGCCTCACTCACCAGCTGGGTCAGGAAGTGGTCTTCCACACACTGCAGGAACCTCCTGGATTTTTTCCAGTCTGCTTTGTTGTACTTCCAGCAGGCATCTGCTAGGTTGAACTCTCCCATGAGAACAAGGCCAAGCAATCAAAGACCTTCAAACAACTTCTTCCAGTTGTTTGAAGAACACTTCAGTCATAGCGTCATCCTGCTTGAGTGCTCTGTAATAGACTCCTGCCAGAATATGTGCTTGGTTGGCCTTCCCCCTCATCTTCACCACAAACATTCAGCCTTCTTGCTCACAACATTGATGACTGGGCAGTCGATTGAGTTCCCTGATGTACAACACAACCCCACCACCTCCTGTTCCTTGCCTCTCCCTTCTGAAGAGCCTGTAGCCATCCATTGCAGCACTCCAATCATGCAAATCATTCCACCACGTTTCTGTGATGGAAATTATGTCATGATTTCCCTGATGCACAATGGCTTCTAGCTCCTCCTGTTTGTTGCCCATGCTGCGGGCATTGGCATAGATGCATTTAAGTTGCTCTGGGGGACTGGCCTCCAACGCTGGCATGCCACCCCTGGCTCATTTTTAGCCAGCCTGGTTTTACTTTCCTCCCACTTCAAACGTAGTTTCAAGCCCTCTTAATAAGCCCTGCTAGTTCCTGGGTCAGGATTCTTTTCCCCCTTTGGGACAGGTGTACCCCACCTGCTGCCAGCAGGCCTGGTGCTGTACAGACTGACCCATAGTCAAAAACTCCAAAATCCTGACGTTAACACCACTCCTAGACTGACACGAGTCCTGTACATGGCTTCACTAAGGGCAAATTGTGCCTTATAAATTCAGTGGCCTTCTATGATGGGTTGACAGCATTGGTGGATAAGGAAAGAGCAACTGATGTCATCTACCTGGAGTTGTGCAAAGCATTTGACATCATCCCACACAGCATCCTTGTCTCTAAACTGGAAAGGCATGGATCTCACAGATGGACAACTCTGTGGATAAAGAACTGGCTGGATAGTTGCACTCAAAAGAGTTGCAATTAATGGTTTGATATCTGGGTGGAGACCAGTGATGAGTGGCGCTCCTCAGGAATCAGTATTGGGACTGAAAGTGGTCAGTGGCAGGGACAAAAGGACTGAGTTCACCCTCAGCAAGTTTGCAGATAACACTAAGCTGTGAGGGAAGAGTTGCCACCTAGAAGGGCCCTGATGTGCTTGAGAGGTGGGCCCATGTGAATGGGGTCAGGGCAATTCCAAGCACAAATACTGGCCGGGAGGAGAATAGATTGACAGCAGCCCTGAGGAGAAGGACACAGGGGTGCTGGTGGATTGAAAAGCTGGACATGAGCCAGCAGTGTGCAATTGCAGCCCAGAAATCAACTATACCCTGGGCTGCATCAAAAGGAGCGTGACCAGCAGGTCGAAGGAGGTGACCCTGCCCCTCTACTCTGCTCTCGTGAGACCCCACTTGGAGTATTGTGTGCAGTTCTGCTGTCCTCAACATAAAAAGGACATGCAACTGTTGGAATGAGTTCACAAGAGGCCACGAAGATGCTCAAAGGGCTGGAGCACCTCTCCTATGAAGACAGGGTGAGAGAGTTGGGTTTGTTCAGCCTGCAGAAGAGAAGACTTTGGGGAGATCTATTAGCAGCCTTTCAGTACCTAAAGGGGGGCTCCAGGAAAGATAGGGAGGGATATTTTATCAAGAAGCACAGTGATAGGACAAGGAATAATATCTTTAAACTGAAAGAAGGTGGATTAAATTTTGGAATAAATTGTTTACCGTGAGGGTGGTGAGGTACTGGCACAGGTTGCCCTGAGAAGTTGTGGATGCCTAATCCCTGGCAGTGTTCAAGTTTCCACATCCAGTTCTGCAATACACAGCATGACAGAATTACATGAAGAGCAAAAAGCAGGCCTACACAGTGAGGTAGCTGCCCCCAGATTTCTCACACTGCTATGTGAACTCAGAGAATTCTGCAAATGGGTAATGAAGGACAGAATTAAGCTCCTAAAAGTCATTGCACCGTGACAAGCCAGTCCTTGGAAGGAATGTATCTATTATCCAGATGTTGCCCCTTCGGTATCTGTACTATAAACAGATGTTACCCCTTAAGCATCTCATTCACCTGTGCAAAACAAACAACTCAACTGACAGTGCAAAGCAGAAACTGTTTTTCTCTTGAGTTGACAGACTCTAAGACTTATGAGGAGGGAGAGAATTCTAAAGCAGCAAAGGATGCAACTGTGTGTTGGGAACAAACACGCTCCAGACTCTTTCAAGGGCATAGCAAAATGAGCCAATTCTTTCCATTTGGACAGCAGTGGAAGATTCAACCATATTTCCAGGACTCTCTCCCATCTGTATCATTACAGTTTTGACCACCTTCCACTTCTAAAAGAGTAGGGTGGAACATACACAAGCCCTTCTTCTATGGCAAGATTCCTTCTGGACAGATCAAAAGCAAATTACCTTCTGTCTCGGCTGACTTTTGTCTGTGTCCTCAGAGACCCTAAAAATCAAAGGGGGGTGTTGTATATGCATTTACGCACATATACAACACTCCGGCATTCTCCTATGCAGGCAACCTCAATTTACATTCCTCCCTTTTACTTCCATTCCCTAACAATCATGGAAAGGGAGTACATACATCTCTTCCATTGTACAACCATCTTTTGAATACGGCTTTTTATGGTCCCTTCTCTTCAGGGAACCCTATTTCTTCAATCTTACTTTGTAGTTACTCTGGAGCTTTGAACATCTTGTGACCCTCATCTCAGCTCATGGGTATCCTTTGAATAGGCTCTGCTACCTTTAAGTTACACATATGTAATGTGCTTTCTTTGCTACACAAAGTCAAGGTATTTCACATGTTGATGCTTCTTAAGACCTTAAATGCATGCCATTAAAAGAATTCAGAAATTGTGTGTGTCTTCAAAAAACTTTCAAAATGAAGGTAGGTAGTAGAGTTAGGAAGGTAACACAGAATTAATAATCTATTTCACATGAGGCAATTCAGGATAACCTAACAGGACACAAATGCCTACATCTGTGTGTTTCCATGGGCGTGGCAAGACTTCAGAGCCTTACAGTGTGCCTTCAAAGAGCACCAGTTCTGACATGTTCACATTGCTCCTTGGGATATAGCCCTACAAGCAGGAAATCTGCCATCAGGGCACTGCACAAAATACGACTGGAGACATGCAGAAGGTAAATGTGTGTGTGCAGTTGAGAGATCCTTTTTTCTACATATGGGCACCTGCTTTATTCCAAGTATCTTTGTGGTGTTTAAGTATCTTTATTTAAAAATAAAAGCTCAAGATAAGACAGTCAATAAGCAGCGTAAGAAGCAGTTCAAAATTCTTCTCGGTGCGTTATGACACGGTACTGTGATGAAGTGTGTTAAATGCTGCCCAAGATGACAAAACAGAGGATGAAACAACATCCTGATTTGCAAATTAGACTCTCCTTTTAATCAGTGTCTTGTGAAGAGGAAGTATTTTAACCTGAAGAATAACTTACAGGTATGTAGGTTAACTTACATAACTTAGCTGCTTAAGACATCCCCCCTTTCAGCGATATGCATTTTTTTCCATTAGTCTTTCCATCTAAAAAGTAAAAAAATTAACAGGCTTATAATTTTCTGATAGTATCTTCTTTTTCCACTCTTAAACATATATTACATTTGAAAAATTCATAAGCTTATTGTACATTATTAAACAAAAGTTGGTGAAAACAGAGTTCTGAACACAAAAAGAAATGTATGGACGTTGTTTTTTCATTTTAAGGGAAAAACTACAACAACTTCTGAGAAATTATCCCTTCTGATATAAAGTGTGCTTTACTGAGTAAATGGCATTAGCAGGATTTTACATCTCTCCCTTCTCAATTAGACAAAAGCTAACAAAGTTACCATACCAACTGAAGAGCCAACATGACAAGTTGTTGCCAGAAGCTGAATAATTTACTCCAGTGCTTCAGTGGCACTGAGCCTCCTGACTGCTGGAACTGAGAGCGCTGGCAGGAGAAAGCATGCTGCACACTCCAGGATGAAAACAGCAGGGAAGCCCAGACTGCAGCTGGAACAATACAACAGTGAAACAGCTGCACAGCAGTAGCTATTTCATCTCTCCACAACTGTACACATTTGAATACACAGCAGAGAACTGCAGATCAACAGAACACAAAACACAGACTCAACCTATCTCTTCCCAATGAAAGGTGGAAAAGTTGCAACCCACAGACAATACCTTTCTGATTTAACAAGGACAGAATGGATACAAGTTTGGTGCAAGTAAGTGTAAGCTCCATTCAGTACCTTGATTCACAAGTACTCCTGGGTTTGTACTGTATATTACAGTCATAATTCACTAGCAGCTCTAGTGCCCTTGTTTTCCCCACACAGCAGGACCAAAACAAACTTGGGACACACATGCTCATATGAAAGCTATAATCTCACTCAAAAATGCTTAAGTAGCAAGCTTATTTCATTCACCAAAAGCACAAGCAGAAGAGTTATCAGGCACTTTCTTCCCATCCAAAGCCTAATGTTTCAAGTAGAGTGTTAGTGAAATTGTGCTACTGCAAATTTGATGGAACAGTTGGCATCTTTACACACTTCTGCTTAAAGAGCTGCAGTTCTCCAACATCTCTGTTCTGTGGGCCCATGTTAAACAGAAAACAATGAATACCCCATTTCCATCTGCTTGTACGAAATCAGAGATAGTTGCAATTCTCTAAAACCCAGTCAAAACCACTACAGGGAGAACACACTAATTGGGACACTAAACCCAGAATATAATTTTTTTCATGAGAAGACATACCTGCAGCCTACACCTTCATGCCCTTAAAAAGAAAAAAAAAAAAGGTAAATAACATTCCCTGTCATAACTGCATGCAATAGTTCACACACAAAAAAAAAACCCAACAAAACAAAACAAACAAAAAAACAGCTATTATTTGGAATATGCCCAATGTGGATAATTTCTCCTTCCATTCATACACCATTACCCAATACCTCCTACATTAAAGCAGGTGAACCACATGGGTTCTGTGTAATAGAAACATTCAACTGACAAGAGCAAACTGCTGTGTATCATAGGAATGTATCAGTCTTAAATCAAGCACATCTGAGGTACTCATAACTCTGGTGTTTTGAAGTTGAATATTCAGTGGATCTCCTCTGAAAGAAAGGAACTTCTGTTATTCTTCCATCCTATCCCTCTATTAAGCTTGAGAAGTGAAGAGTCCCATGGTTTTGATGATCAAGGAAAGTCTAAGCCACCTTGCCACTGTTTACAATTAAATAGTGAATTAAATGTCAATTAAATAGTCAGTTAAACAGCCCATAAATTTACTGCAACATTGCTCTCTATTCCCTTTGGGCAGTTTTTCTTTCTGATCCTCTTTCTTTCAGTTGCCTTCAATCTTTTTGTGGAAAATGCATGCTGAAGGTGAAAAAGATGCCTGTTTAAAAAAAAAAAAAAGGTAAATGTCTCCTTAGGAAACAGATGAGAAGTTACAAAAGGAACAGAACTTGATGCCTTTGGGAAATGGGAAATTACAAACTGATGGTTCCAAGGATAGTCAGGTGGTCAGTAGATCTGAATGACGTCATCCCATTCATCAACAGGCCAGATACCGTTGTACTGTACGTTGGATGGTGAGCTCTTCCAGTCCCATGTCTTCACAGGAACCTTCCAGTCTGGGCCATAGTTGGCTTCAATATACTGAAGGGTTTCACAGGGCACATGTACCCTGAGTTCTACAAATTCAGTCCAACACAGAGTAAACTTTGGAAAGAGATACCTGCGTCATAACAAAAGAACATGGTCACTTGCAGAAGACTGAAATACACCTCTAAGTAAGTTCACAGAGAAAGCAAGCAACTGCAGCAAGTGGGTATTCATATTTTTTCTTATTTCACACCTTCCTATCTACAAAATGCTACTTACATACTGGACAGTTTTGTGGCAACATTGCAACCTAGAGATAATTGAGTCAGACAATGGGACTCATTTCTGGAAAAAAACTCATAGACACCTGTGCCAAAAAGCACAGACGCAAGTGGGGACATCGCATTCCCTATCATGCATCAGCCTCTGGGAAAATTGAATGGTACACCATCACTTTTCCTGATTTTTAGTATATACATACAGCTATCATTCCCTTAGTCTATGGACCACCGCTATAAAAGTCTGTTGAGTTCATTTAGTCCACAACCTTGGGTTCCATTTTTCATAACAGTCTTTTTGGACAGGAAAGATGGCATCACTATGATTCTATGATTAAGAAGTGTGAGATCTGACATGTCATAAATGATATGGAATAAGGGATGAATATTGTCCTGGTTTCAGTTGGGGTAGTGTCAGTTTTCTTCTCAGTAGCTGGTATAGTGCTGGTATTTTGGATTTAGTGTGAGAACAATGCCAATAACCCACTGATACTTTATACACTGCTCAGTAGCACTTACTCTATATAAAGGACTTTTCAGTCTCTCATGCTCTGCCAGTGAGGAGGGGCACAGGAAGCCATGAGGAAGCAGAGACAGGACACCTGACCCAAACTAGCCAAAGGGGTATTCCATACCACAGCACATCATGCCCAGTATATAAACTGGGGGGAGTCACCCAGAAGGCCAGATCACTGCTTGGGTTAAGCTGGGTATCGGTCAGTGAGTGGTGAGCAATGGTATTCTGCATCACTTGTGTTTCCTGGGTTTTATTCCTCTCTCTTTTTGCTATTATTATTGTTGTCACTGTTATTATTATTACCATTATTAGTAGTAGTATTATTATCATCATCATCTTTTACTTTATTTCAATTATTAAATGTTCTTATCTCAACCCAAGGGCTATAACCTGTTTCTGATTCTCCTCCCCATCCACTGGGAAGGAAGGGAGAGAGTGAGCAAGCAGCTGCTTGATACTTGATTGCTGGCTGCAGTTAAACCACCACAGGATGTTATTATCAACAGTAACTGGTTAACGTTTGCCACAGGGTCCTTAGCAAGGAGCATTTCTAATTCTTTTGCAGTTTATTTCCATACCATTCTGGCACCTCTAGGAAATCACTAGTCCCTATCTCTACTTTTTTTCACTTAGAAACTAGATTTAACAGTTACCTCATTTAGAACTGTGTCAAGATGATGATACATGTTAGAGGAGAAATGATAAAAGCAGCATTAAATACTTTATTATGAATCAGGCCTTTTTTAAAATCTAGTTTTTACCTTTCTTCAATCTTGCCAAACAAAGCATGCAATTCCCCTTCAGCACCCATGTTTAAACATGGTGTGTCAGACTTGGAGCAGCTGCAAAGCATTAAAATACAGCTGCTACCCTGTACTTTCTGAAACCTCCTCAGCCCATTTAAATTGAAAAAAAAAACAAATTAATTATTCTACAAATCTGACCTGTTGTTTCCTGTAGAAGGGCCAACACAAGCCCTACCTATAGGCATGCTTACACCCATTGAATATCACAGGTAAATTTCACAGTCTGATCATAAAGACATCCTGTAGGATCATAGTGTCAGAGTCAATTCGTTAAACAAATTAAGCCTATGTACTATTCCTGCAGATGACTACTCCTACTACTGAATCTGTGAAGTCTTCCACAGGAAAAAACAATCTTAAAATTCCTTTTCACGGTTAAAATAAAACCACAAACACTTAGACTTTCTGAACAAGGCTAAAAGATTTATGCATTTGCATCAATTAGAACCCCCACATGTTCCTCTAAGCATAAAGTTAATTTTACTTCTAAGCACTGAGCAAACAGTATCAGCAAATAAAACAACCTTGCTTTTATGCCTTAAATGGATAGAGAGAAAAAAGTAATCAAGCACTTTCATATGTATATCCAGAGATTGCTGATAAGCCCTAGACTAAACCAAAAAGCAACAAAATGCCAGCTACCTAGGGAAAAATAAGCTAAACTCATCAAATAGCTTTTTAGCTGTTGTCAACAACTACCTTTCCCACAATAAGCACAGATTTTGCAAGGCAACAACAACACATAACACACAAAATGCCAACACTAAACACTAATCAATTCAATTTCCTTTCTATTAGAGGTATAAATCCAGTTCATACTTAAATTTCTTGCCCGATTTGGCCTGAGTTCCTCCATTCCATATGTGGTCATCCTCTTCATAGAAGAAAAAAATATCAAGTTTCACGTCAGCATCTCCCTGGAAAGACAGTTCTAAGCTGTCTTCTACCTGCAAGACAAAAATAGTGTATGTACTCATAAAAACACCAGGCTATTTATGTCAGCAGGTGTCATAAAACAGATTTATTTTGGTCAGGTATGAAGAATGACTCTTATCCTAAGTGAAGAAAATATGCTAACTCTGCAGTTTTTTTTATTTCTATTTTTAATGCCTTGAGAACACTGGAATCTTTCTGCCCTTCAGTGGGACTACCTTCTCTTGCCTCCTTTTAGCTCCAAAAGCTGCAGCAACATCTCCCTGCCCTCTGCCACAAGCAAAATAATCTCAGTGAATAAACACATAATTAGTAGGTGTCTTCATTTAACATGCTTCCTCTACAATAAAATGCTCACTAGCACCAGTAACACTGTATCACTTGAACTACGACTGAAAATTCATATTCCTGCAATTTCACTCTGAAAAAGCTAAATAAAGATCCACATTAGCTAATAATGAACAAGCCCAGTGCCCATCTCAAGCCATCCTTTCCTTTCTGAACACTCTACTTACAGGGCTACAGATTATCTCAGAGCTATCACCAATGCTCCTGTATAATGAGGCCCATCCAATCTCAAAGACTAAATTCTACCCTGATTCTCAGATTTCCCTGAAACCACTGACAGATATTAGACCCCTTTGAAACCTAGTAAAAAAATTAATCTGAGGTGGAATTCAGAGGCCCCAAACAGGGCTGATGCTATTAAGAAGGGTATTTTCTCCATCTAAGAGAACACATAAAATCAGCAAGATTATATGTTTAGGTAAAACCCTTATGAGTAAATATGTCTGCCAAGGAAACTTCAGATACACACTTCTACCTAACTGTAGATCTGTAGTGGTACTCAAACTTACAAATGTACAGAAAGACATAAGAAGCAAACGGTTCAGGTACCTTGCCAAATTTGTGCTTCAGTGGTAAGCCTGCTTTCTGAAAGGCTGGAATGATATCTGTTTTGTAGTCTCTTATAAAGATTCCCAAATCCACATCTCTGCTGTGCGGAATGACATTGCACTGTCTAAACCAACCTAAGGAGGGAAAAAAAAAAGAAGAACAAAACCAAACTAGTTAATTCAGGAACATGAGAAATACACCAATAGAACAAAGGCAACATAAAAACGAACTGATGGAAAATCACCAGGCAGAGATATCTGAGCGAGTCCATAAACAATAATCCTTGCTTTCTCCAGCACGAAATGAACCACATCAAAGAAACAAGTATTCCTGCACTTATAGCCAGCTCTTTCCTCCAGAAAGTCACGAAGAGAGAGAAAACGCTTAACTCTTTCAAAGACACAATATTTTCAGTTTTCTAACCTAAATATCTTTAAGGAAAAAGCATTCTATATCTTGAACCTAGTCTAATAGGGCTAACAGCTGTGCTTTACTTTGAAACTATTATTTTAAGTAGTATTTGAGACGTTAATCATCTTTCAGTCACTACTGAAACCAGTAAGACAAGAAATGGGACATCCCTTCTGTCTGCTTGATTAAAGAAGCTTTTACTAACTATCCATTCAGAAAATCATATTCCCTAGGACTAAACAGATATGTCAAATGTGCACACAGGAGTTTTCACAACTTATTTCAGTAATAAGACTCTTCACCAGTGATAAGACACTACTTCCCTCTTCAGCACAATTTAAAACCTACACTAATAGGCTGACATTTTATTAAAAAGATGTGGTTTACAATGAATAAATATTTTATCAGTGAGTGATAATCACCAAATTGCATGGGAAGAAAAATCAGATGAGAGCCCACGTGGACAGCAGTGCATCCATCACTGCGTTTTTCAACTAGTATTTTAGTAAATTCCAAATCACACAATTTGGGGAACAGCTGATTATTTCCTAAGCAGTGATCGTAGTGAACACAACACAGAAAAATGTTAACCACACTAAATGCTTCACTGGAAATTTGCTCAGCATCTCCAAGGCTCAGGTTTCTAAAGAAAAAGCATTTTGAAGTAGGCCTTTTTGCTCCTGACAACACAGCTAATGCCAGGTATTACCTTCCAACATGGTATATTTAACCCAAGTTAAAATCACAAGCAATAGGGGATGAAAGGTTTAACATTTCAGATGAGTTTAAGAACACAACATAATACAGAGATTTTACCAAGGCATGTTCCACTGCTCAGCCAGAACTTTACCCCTAATTTATTCAGCGTCAGGGCAGCCAGATGGAGCAAAGATTTTGCTTTCTTTCTGAACTCCACTGCATCAAGCGAGGCATCATCAGGATACAACTGAAAGGCAAAGAAAGAGTAAGCAAGCTATTAAGACAGCAAACTTGTCCATTCATTTTTCAGTGTCCTAAGAAAAAAACCTTTAAAAAGTTACTTTACTAGTATCTGGGCAGTATCTGTTTTCACATATACAGCCCAGTTTTTGAACCTCCACTAGAATGACAAGTTAAAATTCAAGCCTGAGACATTAATCTTAAGTTTTTTGGACTAACATAATGTAAAGTCACAGTAAAATAGAATCATAATATACATATTAGACACTCATTCTCGGCATTTGACAACAAACACAGACGAACCCTAGTTCTGCACATGCTGAACTCAATACCCAGAGCGCAGGGGGAAGCTGGGACAGGATCAGCGACTCGCAGCACACTAGTTTATTTGGCGCCACCAAGTGTTACAACGGGACATTGACAATTTCTGTCACAGAATAAAACAATGCGAACAGGAAATCATGCCTATCTTCCAGCTGCAATAGTGGGCACGATCTTCTGGTAAAGCAAAACCCAAAACAACACGCCAGTCTAGGCAAACGTCACCAAACTGAACAGAAGAACAACCCACCACACAGCTTCAGGACTGGTTAAGAGCTCTTGGGCAACAAACAGCTGAAATTAATACTTTTCAAAACATGCCAGTTGCTTATTTCAATATTAAAGCTCCAGCAAAGGTCAATATAACTTCTAAGGCACATTTTCTCTGCCTGTGGTGAATACTGCCTGACGATTTTCGAGCCAAGGTAACAACCTGGACTAGTGGGAGGCATCCCTGCCCATGGCAGGGGGTTGGAAATAGATGATCTTATGGTCCTTTCCAGCTCTGTTCTATAAGTCTATTACTCAGACTTTTGAGAATTGCCATTAAGGAGAATTTCCAACTACAAAGATACATAAGATCTTAGTCTTATTTACACGAAATCTCTTTAACAGTAACAACGTGTGAGAACTGTGGATGTGTTGGTTACCTCTTCTTTTCGAAGTTTGGAAAATGGACAAAAATGTGCTAACAAGTTAAACAGTAATTTTCAGTTAAAGTTTTATTTTTATTAGCACTTAAACTGTGGATTGAGTCTCAGGGGCTGTATTTAGCTTTATGTATGCAAGCAGTCCCATCTAGGTAAAAAACAGTAAACTGTAGGTTTGTGTCAAGCAATGAAAACACACATTACATCTCAGAGACACTACCTGATTACCACTAACCTGAAAGAAAGCCCGAGCTTCTCTGTACCTACATTCAAGAAATCTAGAGTGTGACATCTCCTCTAGAAAACTGGATGGGTTTTTGGGAATTTGAACTTTTAAGTCATCAATGGAAACAAGCAGAAGTTCTGGCCTGCAGGGAGAAAAAGATGATCTATTACCCCTTTCAATTGCTCTACAAATCACAAGCCACTTTTTCCTCTAGCTTAGGTTAAAATCTTGATGCACACAACTGGCAGTGACACCTATGTCCAAATACACCCAAACCCAATTATAAAAGGAGACCAACAAGAGCTTCAACAAATTCCCAAGCAACTCAAAATTTTGTTTAAAAAGAAATTCCATGCCTAAAAGCCCCTAGTTACCTTGTCAGACCACTGACTCCTTTATTGACTCATAACTTGCACTGCATTTGTTCAGAGCTGTTACGCAGTGCTGTTTATTTAGTTGTCTAAATATGGGATGCATTTAAGAACCAAGTTACCCTGTACTTTGAGGTTATTTGCGTTTAAAATCTAAAAAATGATCAGCCTTCACAAGGAATGAAATGTGCTATTTAACAGCTTACACAGTTGACTTCAAATGTTCAGGCACATAACCAGCACAGACTGCATGTTTTAAAAGAAAGAAAGAAAGGTGTCAATTTTAAGGAGAAAGTTTAACAAATTTAAGTTTGATCTGTTTGACTGTTTTTCTCTAATTTATGGCACATACACACATCCTACAGGAACACTGCTCTCAAAGCCTAGTGGCATGTGCTTGGATTTGAAAACAGCAACAAGACCTGTATTTCCTAAAATACTCCCATTGAAAGCATTGTAAGAAAAGGCAGACATTTACAGTAACTTTACCAATGTAATGCAAAGCTTAAGCATAAGACTATGGACAAATAAAACCAGCAATTCGAACATTTATGCAAGAAAGAAGTCCCCTCAGCATGTTATGAGCATAGTCTAGATGCAACGGTTGGCACATGTCTTTCTGGTATTAGTCACCTTTCTTTATTGATGTTCTTTAACACTGATTATTTCTACTGTTATGGAATGGATGCCTGTTGTTTCCCCTTTTCATTTAATGTTCAGTACCTGTATTCAACTTTTGGATACATACTGTTATAGAATTAACACCAAATATCTATCGGCTAGTACCAAATCTCTACTTTACCCCTACGTTCATAGCACATGGCTATCAAGAGATTTCAAACTTTGAAATATATTAATGGTAAACCACTGACTCAAGCAGAAGATCCTGTGGTACATTCAACCTCAGTCATGACTTCTCACATCCTTGCTCTGACATGGCTAAATAGCAACTTCCTCTAAAATGCACTTCTTAATTTATGAATGGTGGGAAGCTCTTGCTGCCAGGTAAACAGAACTGGATTTACCTTCATGCCTTAGCTTACATGCACTTTGAGGGCTGAATCACACATAAGCTAAATTCTACAACTTGACTTCAGAAAAGAGAGTAATTTTATATACAGGAGAAAGAACTTATTTTGTAAGTGTCATTATGGCTTTTTCTCTCCTCTGTTTTGAACTCACTTTTCATATGCTCCAGGGTAGCGACCAAAGTGGAGTTTCCGGAAAGGCACAAACTTTCTGTCCATATGTTGCTTGAGTCTCAGAGGGCCATGCCAGAGATAATTACCACTCCTCTCATAGAAGACCACCAGATGAATGGCATGAGATGCCAGTTTAAATATGTAGTGTAAAGGAATTTCAGTCCCAGACAGGTCATCCATCCCATCCAAGCGGGGGTCCTTGTTTATAATTTTTAGCCATTGGAATCCCATTTTCTCAGCAGTTCTAAAAAGGCCCACCTATAATTAAGAGAGAGGGGCTAAAGATTAGAGAAACCAAAAATTAAAAGCTTATTGCTTATTAAGTGACATTATGTGCCATTTTCACTTTCTAATTAGACTTAAGCACAAACTACTCAAAAATATACTGCAAAAATCTTCTTTTATGATGTACATAAGTATTTGTCTAAATCTCACCAACCACTGCACTAGGTAACATGCTTTCATATTTCCATACAAAAAGGGAATTAAATTCTGGCTGATAAGAAAAGAACCAATCAACATCTGAACATCCTTTCAATTACCCCCCTTGAACTGTTTTATACAGGCACATCAGCTTCTCCTCTGGATGCTACAGATATTATCAATGAGCCACAAAGGAATGGGGAGATGGATTTAAATAAGTGTGCTACACACAACCTTATTTTCAGTTTAATTCCTTTACAGCTATGCAGTAAAAATAGTCACAGACCATTTTAAGGTCCCCTGCTTTTTCCTGTTTGTCACTGGTATATTTAGTCTGTATAGAGTAATAAATATTTCCAGCTGATGCTTAATTGATGAAATAATCTTGGATTTCATTTTGTCCTTTACTACCTGCTACACCTCTATTTTTAACGCATCCATTTAAAGATCTCAGAACACCAAAGAAAAGCAGAGATAACAATACACTGAGTAAATAAAATGGTGTTAAGTACAAGGATGTACTAACAGAAATATAAACTGTAAGATTATGGTTTAAATGTCTTCTAAAACTAAGTTAATCTTTCCAGCCTTGTCACATCAATACCTGCATTCCTCCTTGATAGATTCCTCAAACTCAAGATTTATTACAGCTGTATCTAGAATACAGACTTAAGGTTTTTCTTCTTCTTTCCTAACAGACCACATTTTTTTCTTCTTTCTGGTGTGGCTTCTTACTACAAGTGTTTATGAATATTCTAGACTGCTTCAAAAACCTTTTAGTAAATTACTCCTCATGTATTCAGGGTAGTGCCTGGATGCCTTTTACTATTAAAACCAAGCTTCCTCTAGCAGTACCTTTACAAGATTTCCACACAATGAATTAAGAGGGCTTAATATAAACAAGAAAGCACTGTGTAAAAAATAAAATCACTGAACGGTTAAATACATTCAAATACACAAATGCAAAATGAAAAAAAGGCACTTACTTCATGTTTCCATGTTTTGTCCAGCAGTGCAAATGTAGTAAAGTCTCTTGGAGCACAAAAGTACTTGCATTCTGGACTAGGGCCATCAGGAGAACTTCTGATCTGTTCAATATCTTTATCAACCAGTCCCAGAATCAAAGGATCGATCAAATACACTGGTATATTGTGACTGGATATTAAGCCTAGGAACTTCCTAACCACGTGCTGTTTGACAGAGGATAAGATTTTAGTTAGAAACACCATCTTCAAGCATACACAGGTTAATACATTAAAACCTTTTGACAGAAGGGAAAAACAACCCCAACCGGCTGACAGAAAGGAATTTTATTTCCCAATACATTTTCTGAGCATCCACTTTACTTCCATGAACAATTGTGGAAACGGAAATTTTCTCTCCCAGAAAAACAGGCTGCTCTCAGCCCTTCCAGGTCTCTCAGACTAAAGTAAAAACCTTTCAGCTTCAATTAGAACTTTCTACAATTTACAGCACTTGAACTGTGGAGTGCTAGACTTGAAAGCAGACTCTAGGCTAAACTCTAGATCCTTTGGAGATCTAGAGAGAGTTGGAAAGCACTTAAATAAACCAGAGACTACAGGATGAGATGCAATACACATGTGGGTGCTGAGGGATCTGGCTGATGCCACTCTGAGGCTGCTCTGCAACATCTTGAAGGGCCATGATCAGGAGCAGTTTCTCAAGTCTGAGAAAAGGCAAATCTCATGCCATCTTCAAAAAGGAGGATCTAGAGAACTCTGGTCACATTACTCTCAGTCCCCATGAAGCTTCTGGAACAAAAGGCCCTGGGAAGTCAAATCCAAGCACATAAAGGACAAGGATGTGATTGGGAAAGCCAGCCAAAGGCAAACTGCACCTAATCACATCGACTGCATTTGAAGAAGTCTGTGGGCAAGAGCAATGGACACTCTTCATACCTTGATTTCAGCAAGGTTCCTGACCCACCCCCCAGATCTTCTGCATGACACCTGCTGTATATCATTGGTGACCCAATGAGGAGGTAGGAACTGAGTGCTATCTGGTCTTTGGATACCTGTGTACCCAGAGCACTCAACCACTGCAACACTGCATAGGGGTTAAAAGCTGCAGCAAGAAGATTCTGTGCCTGATGAGGGGATTTATTAAATTGACTCAGTGAAGGATTTTAATGAAATACTTTTAAATGTTCCTGGCTGTTGTTGTTTAAGCCCAGGCCATAAATCAGAACCACACAAGTCTACTCCCTCCCCCCTTAGCAGCACCAGCTACTAAGGAGAAAAATGACTGTTACTGCTCAACCCAGGACACTGGCATACAGAAGCCATTTACAACAGTCACAGCCACCCTGCTATTAAAAATGTAATGTTTTTACCTGTAACAGATAAATTTACTTAAAGTACTGTTCTAAAAATACCCCAAAACATTTGCTTAGAACAGAACTGCCAGGCTTTACAACTGTTACATCTCCAGGTTTCTAGAAGAGGTGTGGTAAGCCCAAACTATCCACCCAGCAAGATAATTCTGGCTTTTTTTTTTAAGTGAAGCTCTAACTTTCCTCCTGCCCAGCTGCTGAATCTGTTCAGTCAGACTCCATAGGCCAACCTCCAATTCTGGCATAGTGCTTTGGCTTCAGAGGGATGTAAAAACGTAAAGACAGAATGTGGATCAACAAACAGAATTCAGGCAACAATGCTACATATGCTGCAGAGGTAGGATCACAACCACCCTTTTAGTGATTTCATCTACATGGAGCTGAAAGGTGAGTGCTGTGCTAGCACTATTTCTGTAACTAAAACTAGCAGATAAGACTGGTATGTACATCCCTCTACCCCCTCCTTCACTCCTTCAGGGACAAATGCTTTTAGTTGAAACAAGTAATTGGCAGAAAGAGATGATGATCATGTCAAACAGCTAAGAGAAATGCACTCAAACAGAGCATTTTGGACTCATCACGCAGGGACTCTCAAGAAAGTTTGGGGTGCAACATTCTGCTTTGTTACTGATGATCTCGTAAGCACAAGTTAAAGCTTAATGAGAACTCTGCCCACAGACTGGAAGCCCACTATGACTATGTCATCTAACATGGCAGGTAGTTCCAAGGGGTGACACTTCCAAGAATAGTGAGACATTCCAGGTGCAATCCAACAGTCCATAGGGTAGTTGATCAAGATTACTCCTAAGAACAGCTCTTAACCAGTGCACACTTCCTCTTGCTCAGCATAAGCAAGGTGTTTAAATGGCTATTTTGCTAACTGGTATCATTAGCATCCAAAGAAAATAGCAGCCAGCTTCCAGCGCATTGTGCATCTGTGCTGGTTTTTCTCTGGGAGATCTGTTAAACAAAAAAATTCTATAAAGTGTTTAGAAAACAAATGCTAACTATGAAATCATAATGAGCTTCTGATTCCCTGAGGCCAACATGATGCTTTGGTTGCACTCAATCCTTCAAACCTTAAACAAGACACAATAAAAAATACCCCATTTCAAGTATTTAATGGCACTACTATCACTGCTCCTGAACCCTGGAATACAGAAACTGGCGAATGCTGAAATGTAACATTTTCCTGCTTGTGAAGAACTTTATGACCCAGTATAAGCAAGTAACAGAAAACACTGAGCAGCAGGTTAAATAACTGCTTGGGTGAGTGAGCAAAGGGGTATTCTGTGACCTGCAGCTGATTTTTTTACTATGCTACTGACTATCAACAAGCTGCATCCCAAATAAACCAATCTTTTCAATATTCAGTCTGAAAGAACACAAAAGCCTGGATCAAAACTTCTATAGCAGAAAGAACAAGTTTTGCTGCTGCTTATAACTTTAACAACATTAGTAAGGACTGCACAGAAAAGGCTGCTAACCTGTAACTGCTTCTCAGTTCTATTTTAAACTGATGTTTTGAAGCACTTCATAACTTTTAGCACCTAATACTAGAAAACCCCCACTGAATTTGAAAGAGAACTGTGCAATGCCATGAGAGTTCTCAGAGACTGGCAGAATCACTGTATGAACCAGTAACATTGTACATACCCATCTAGTGCTGTCTTGGCCTGACAGGCTTCCTCTGACTTTGGAAAACACTGCTCCATTCTGTCAAAACCAAAGAAGGGAAGTGGGAGGGAGAAAGAAAAGGGAGAAAAATTAAGTTTTGATTGAATTCATGCTCAGGATTTCTTAACAGGACATTCAGAGGCATTTATTCAGTCAGCATTTTATAGTTACGGCTCTGGTTATTTATGCTTCCAGTCACTCAACTACATTACTGCACATGAAATCAGAAACAACTGCTCTGGCATAGTGTATTTAGAAGTACAACACAAGCCTTGAGGACTTCCAGACATACAAGGACTGCATGATCAGGCTTCAGGTTTCTAAGTCAACAGAAGTAAAACAGGAAGATGACAAATACAAACCCTGTTAGGCACATACCACTAGGGGAAAGACAACAGGATTATGCCTCAGTCTTTCCAGGTGTAATCCTAGAGAGTTAAATTTGAAAGAGAATATATTCATATGACAAAGCCAAGGTGGTTAGTGGCTTGGCTTTTAGCTTTGCAAAAGCATGAAGAATTTCTCATTCACAGCCTTGTTGTTCACAGTCAGAAACTATAAGAAAGTCAAAGGCTGTGGTACTACCCAGCAGTAAGGCCGCATTCGTTAAGAAAGTCCTCACCAAAAGAAAACAAACTCAGGAAATATGATACCTATGCAGTTCTTCCATAAAAATAAAATTAAGTTACTTTGTTCAATTTGCACTGCAACAATAAACTACAAAGCCATAAAAAACCCCACAGTATTTCATTAACACTGAACCTCTTTTTCTGTTACAGATGATCAGCCTCACCTAAACATCCCACTCATAGTTTAAAAGTACGATTTAATCTGTCCCCTAGAAAATTAGGAACCCTGAATCACAAAACAGTACGGGAACTGCAATTCTTTTAAAAACACCACTGCTGGAAAAACTTGTAGCCAATAAAGGCTTCCTTCCTTGTTTCTTCAAAGCCCCAAGATAGCACTTGGTTTGACTTTACTTTCCACAAAAGTCACTTAACAACAGGAGTAAGAAGGCTTGTGAAGGTTAAGCAGCGAACGACATCCCGTTTTAGAATGAATGGGATGCCTTCGGCTGACACAATGACTTGAATATCAGGGTGACAACTTCACCTGATTACCTTTGCCACCAGTACCTTGCTAGAGCTACCTACCTGCTCCACGTCAACAATGCAGGAATTGCTAGCCACACGAGGGCAGTTCGGAGGTGGCTCTGGCACTGCTAAGGGCCTCTGAAGAGAGCAGACATTATACCGGGTTATTCCACAAAAGCAAACCCGTGCAGCACAGCTCTCTTACCTTCTGCGACAGGTAGAACTTGTAATAGTACAACTGGAAGAGAAGGAAAACCAGGCTGGTCAAAGAGAGGAGCGCCAGAACCACGTTCTTGTTGATTTTCTGCATTAGTCTTCGGGGCGCTGCCGATCACCGCCTGGAAGCTGCGCCGCGTCGCTCATCTTCTCCGGCTTCCCAGCTCCTCCCTGCGCGCCGCCGGAGGGATGCAGGGACCGCAACAGGCCGCAAACCAGCAGACCCGAGCCGAGGCCCTGGGAAAAGCCTCCCCCACCGCACCGCCCCTCACGGTCCTCCCCGCTGCCCGCTCGCCGCACCGGGCCGCGGGCCCCTCACGCTCCTCGCTACCCTCGCTGCAGAGCACCGCCCGCGGCTGCCCGCGCATGCGCGGTGGGGCAGAGCACGCCCGCTGCTGGCCCGGGGGCTCGCCTGCAACGTACCGGGAAGCGGGCCCTCCCCGCTAGCCCGCGCCCGCGGAGGAAGGACGGAACGAGAACACGGGCGCGCCCGCTTCCAGGTGTCTCTTTAATTGAAAAAGCTCGCCTTCACACAAGTCACAGATCCCGAAACACCGCGCGGCCCTAAAGCCACGCCCGGGGGCCGCCTTCCTGCCCTTCCCGGCCGCGATGAAGCACTGATGGAGAAGATCTGAGGTAGAGCCAAGGGAGGACCGGGTAAACCCCGCGCTGGCCGCAGGGGTAGGCGCCGCAGGACGAGGCAATGGAGGATGCCGTTGCTCGGCGTGGTGAGGAGGGAAGACTACGTTCAGGCTTCCCCTTCCACAGGGCATCCGGAGTGTCCGATTTCCAGTGAGGCTGGGTGGGGCAATGATGAGCAGAAGTCGATGCCGTTGTCTATCAAACTAGGCATCATTCATAAACTGTGACCATTATCAGACTAAGATACTGGTGAGCCAGATGTTCTTCCCGAGGGAACTGGTTTCCCTAGTCCTTGAAAGAAACTCTAGTAACATGGGATGGTGCAAAGCAGGAGGAAACAGGATTTGTACATTAGCCTCTACTTTCGCTGCTGAAAAGGGTGGCTAAAGAAATAAGCCTGTTACACTCTGCCATTCAGATTTGGTATCTAGAGGAGCACCTACCACCTGGATGCTTTTAACTGCTTTCTGAAAGCAGCATCCCTTGCTGCAGTCCATACAGCTTTATGCAGAAACAGTCAAGAGTTACACTTTTCTGATGTATTAAAAACTCCAGAGAAATCTTCAGTTCCTCACAAGTCATCCTGAAGTTATTTTAAATTCATTTTGGTCATAAAGCGGGAAACTGCCTAGCCACCAGACAGCATTAACCCCACAGGAGAGGCTCACAGAGTATTAAAGTCACCGGGCATATTACATTTAGGGTTAATTGCGGGGCAAAAGCTACAGACATCCAAAGGTCTAATCCATTGCCAAAGAACAAGCCCTCCTATCCCCAGAAAAAAAAACAGTAGCTTCACCAGCCACAACCCTCTCTAGCTGCAGGTACAAACAGTGCACCAACTGTAACAAAGCCTCACCAATACATTGGTATCCGACAGACACTAGCTCAGAAAAAGAGTCAAAAAAAACCCTAAAGTGCTTAAGGCAATTCTTCATATCCCCATTTACTAGAAACAATTGGACTAGCTGTTAGCAGCAAAAATCTGACATCTGTGCAAACTATTACGTAACAAATTTATCTTTTAAGAGTAAAAAGTCATATGTTAAGTTCATCTAGGGCATCATCAGTTAAAACTTGCAAGTCACAAGTCACAGTGAAATACTTCAAGCTTTCTTCTAAGTGTTAAATTACATTTTTACTTGTGCATATCAAATTTACCTTACAGGTTGCACAACATTTTGCTAGAAAAATCATCATCATTTAAATGCTCTTATGAAGGGTTGGAGATGTGGTTCTTTCACATCCCACATTAACTACTGTAAACATCCCCTTTCTTTTCAAAAAGGGAAATTTAAATAGGAACTGCAGCTGAACACCCAAGATGAAGCAAATGACTGGGCACTGGGAATAGGTACTATCCTATTTCGATGTCTATCACAATCATTCATTAGAACAAGCCTCAAAACACGAAGTATCTGTCTTAACCATCCTCATTCTAAACACCACCAGGGTCCAGGCATGCAATCCTCCCTCATATACCACTGAATTGATAGCAGATGAGCCCCTAAACATCCAGACAGCTACAGCTGAACCCAGGACAATTGCAGTAAAAACAAAAGAAGTGAAGAAGAAATATTGAAGATTACTACACAGACTATGTGAACAACAACAACTGTAGATAATCTGTGGAAGATTCAGACACTGTTGATTTTAAAACCATGTCACCTTCCAGGATTTTTGTTTCAAGACCCAAAATACTTAAATGGTAGAGGAAGGTGCAGTTAAACTGGGAATTGTTTTGCACTTTCCTCTGCAAGAACTATTACAGCTAACTTTGTTCAAAATGCAAATATTTAGGGATGCTCAAGTTCCAGATATGAAATGAACATTAGGGGCTCAACTGTCTTGTCAACTTCATGATTTCTCAAGGGAAACAAAACTTTCTGGAGCAGGTATTAGGAAAAAAATTAAGTTTCCCACTGAAGGAAAACTTCAATTTTCCACTGAACATCACAACCAGTTTATTACTTTTAAGGAATTCTCCTCCTCTTGAGAAATCCTGACGGATGCAAAGGACCCACTGATACTAACAAAATTTAACACAATTAGATGGTTATGTTTTTTATGGACTGAGAGATACATACACAAAAAATTTTTATTCCTTTCCTACTTTGGCCCTGTAGGAAAGAAGCCAATTCATTATGGACCCTATCAGCATGAAGTAGAAACAGTTCTCAGGTGATATTAGGAAAAAAAATCTTCAGTTAGGAAACACTCAATTCAATTGTGTATCTGAAAATTGCTTCTAGGTTCCTGGACTTGATTAGAGGGAAGAAAGCAAATTTAAGCAGTCTATAATACACAAGTTATTCTCATTGAAAAGCTGAGATTTTCCATGAAGAATATAACATGATTTGTTTGGGGTTTTTTTAGCTCTCCCACTGTTAACAGTCATTTGACTGTGTTTACTAAGCTTCCAAATAGAAATTGAGATGATGGAATACCAAGGCTCAACATTTCATTTGATTTGTGAAAGAAAATGTAAACCTGCAGATCCAGCAGCAGATTAGGTTAGCTGGGAAAGCACTTGCTCACTGTACACTTTGTCCTTGCCCTTAAAAAAAGGAAATGCCGTAAGTTGGAAGTTATAAAGAGATCTTCCAACACCCCTCCCATGGGCAGGGACATCTCACACTAAACCATGTCACCCAAAGCTTTGTCCAACCCAGCCTTGAAGACTGCCAGGGATGGAGCAATTATTGCTTCTTTGAGCAGCCTGTTCCAGTGCCTCACCACCCTCACAGTAAAGGACTTCCTCCTTATATCTAACCTGAACTTCACCTGTTCTAGCTTAAACCCATTGACCCTTGTCCTACTGCTACAGTCACAGTATCACAGTATGCTAGAGATTGGAAGGGACCTCAAAAGATCATCTAGTCCAATCCCCCTGCCGGAGCAGGAACACCTAGATAATGTTACACAGGAATGTGTCCAGGCGGGTTTTGAATGTCTCCAGGGAAGGAGACTCCACAACCTCCCTGGGCAGCCTGTTCCAGTGTTCCGTCACCCTCACTGAGAAGAAGTTTCTTCTCAAGTTTAAGTGGAACCTCTTGTGTTCCAGTTTGCACCCATTACCCCTTGTCCTATCATTGTTTGCCACTGAGTAGAGCCTGGCTCCATCCTCGTGACACTCCCCCTTTATATATTTATAGACACTAATAAGGTCACCCCTCAGTCTCCTCTTCTCCAAACTATAGAGACCCAGCTCCCTCAGTCTTTCCTCATAAGGGAGATGCTCCACTCCCTTAATCATCTTCGTTGCCCTGCGCTGGACTCTCTCCAGCAGCTCCCTGTCCTTCTTGAACTGAGGGGCCCAGAACTGGACACAATATTCCAGATGGGGTCTCACCAGGGCAGAGTAGAGGGGAAGGAGGACCTCTCTCGACCTACTAACCACCCCCCTTCTAATACACCCCAGGATGCCATTGGCCTTCTTGGCCACAAGGGCACAGTGTTGGCTCATGGTCAGCCTGTCGTCCACTAGGACCCCCAGGTCCCTCTCCCCTACATTGCTCTCTAACAGGTCGTTCCCCAACCTATACTGGAACCTGGGGTTGTTCCTGCCCAGATGCAGGACTCTACACTTTCCCTTGTTATATTTCATCAAGTTATTCCCTGCCCAACTCTCCAGCCTGTCCAGGTCTCGCTGGATGGCAGCACAGCCTTCTGGCGTGTCAGCCACTCCTCCCAGCTTAGTGTCATCAGCAAACTTGCTGATAGTACACTCAATTCCCTCATCTAAATCGTTGATGAATATATTAAATAATACTGGTCCCAGTACTGACCCTTGAGGCACTCCACTAGTTACAGGCCTCCAACGGCCCTTCAACCTCCCTTCATACAGGAGGTGCTCCAGCCCCCTGATCATCCTCGTGGGCCCTCCTCTGGACTTGTTCCAACAGTTTCTTGTCCTTTCTTGTCCTTTTTATGTTGAGGATACCAGAACTGCACACAATACTCCAGGTGAGGTCTCATGAGAGCAGAGTAGAGGGGCAGGATCACCTCCTTCGACCTGCTGGTCACTCTCCTTTTGATACAGCCCAGGATACAGTTGGCTTTCTGGGCTGTGAGCGCACGCTGCTGGCTCATGTTCATTTTCTCATCAACCAACACCCCCAAGTCCTTCTCTGCAGGCTGCTCTGAATCTCTTCTCTGCCCAAGCTGTAGCTGTACCTGGGATTGCCCCAGCCCAGGTGTAGGACCTTGCAGTTAAACTTCGTGAGGTTGGCATCAGCCCACCTCACAAGCATGTCAAGGTCCCTCTGGATGGCATTTCTTCCCTCTAGCATATCAACCAAACCGCACAGCTTGGTGTCATCAGCAAACTTGCTGAGGGCACTCTCAATCTCACTGTCCATGTCACTGACAAAGATTTTGAACTGGACTGGTCCCAACTCCAACCCTTGAGGGCAACTGGACATTAAGCTGTTGACTGCAAATCTTTGCATGCAGCCATCCAGCCAATTTTTTATCCACAAAAACAGTCTTACAGCCACATTAACATAGTGTACGGAACAAGGCAAACAGGTTATGCATGGAATCTATGTTTCTGCTGGGTAAAAAGAATCACGCAATTTTTGGAGTTACCTGGTTATTCAGAAAGTTCCAGGAATCCTCACTAGGCTTGCTAGTCAAAGCAGCTAGCAAAAATGTGTGCCTGGGCTCAAATAAATATCCTTTTGAAACGCATGTTTCACATCACAAGTTCTAACAGGAAGCCTAGTAATAATATAATGAAGTAATGTTAGGACAGATAAGAAAATGGTATTAATTATATTTACTCTTCATAAAAAAATAAAAATACTCAAGTCCATAACAAAATGTTTAAATACAGTATTAGAAAAGTACATAAGTTACAGCTTTTGATTTCTCACTTATTGTTTTCAAAAGGGCAACATTTCAGTTTTCTGACATTTCTCTTAATTCACAGTAGGTTTTATTAACACTATAGCCCCAAACCTTTGCACTATCAGTACCCAGGCCTTAAACAACAGTAGGTAGCAAACCCAGTGTAATCCAGTGCTCACAAGCTTCTGTGAGTACCAGCTACACAGGAAAAAAAAAACAAAAACATTCAGCAAGAGAAGTGTTTATCAGACATTAGTAGGCAATATTGTTTAGACTGTTTGTTGAACCACTCAATCTATTTTCACTTTTCTGGACCATGCTAATAGCACTTGGCACCTGCAATCCAGTACTCACTGTAAGCCCACCACACCAGGTCTAAGGAGAAGAAAAAAAGATAAAAAGATCAATATTCTGAATATTATGAAACATCTATATCTCTCGTCTCACATCGCACAATGGAACTACCACAAAACTTATCCTGCAGCTGCATCTGTCTTCTCTTGTTCACTAGTCACAGCGCTCTGTAAAACATTCTGACATAAGAGAAGCTAACTTTTAAGATGATAAATTTAAGATGATAAAGATGCTTCACATGCTATACTGCATTATGAACTTAGAGCAACAAAGTCTAAGTTATAACACAAAAAGTTTTCCCAATAAGAAAACTTCTTTGAAGACCAGCATGCTACCAGCAAGTAGTTAGAATGACAATGAAACACAATACTCTTATGCTCCAGTGTTTGAAAGCAGTGCTTAGTTTTAGTATGACACAGCAGGATTATGCCAATTTGTGTACTATGTTTACATTGAATTATGAGAAGCTTCAGCAGCACAGGTGCCAGTGACCTTTATTCTACACCTAAGTTACATGAAAGAATGTATCTCCATGTTTATGAATGAATTTGAGAACTGTAATTAGCTTCTTTGTTTCTATTTTAACTGTTCAGGCTAACCCAAGTAATGTCTGCAAGACTGCTATAACTAAGTATGAGGGGCTATATGAGATGCAGACTAATAGGCTGATGTGTGGTAAGCAAGTGTTTCCTTGGATGCTTTAGGAACTGACTCAAAGAGTCAGTCTTCACAATGCTAAAGGATGACTAATACTTGTATCCCAACAGTTCTGAAGCTATTAAGTTCCCCATATGTTGGAAGGGACCAGTAAAGTAACTTGCTTAGTCATCTCCAAATAGCTAGCTATTAAAAGTCTAAAATCCTATTGTCAGTACATCTAGCTAACAGTAGAAATTCTGAGAAATATTCTGTCCAATAGAAGGAAAAATCAGGTGTTTGGAAGTGCTATATATAAAGGCTGCTAGGGCAAATTACTACTTTTCCATTCCTCCTCCACGCCCAAGAGAAAAACAACTTTATTAATTGGCCTAATCACAGTTCAGAATTACCATGCTGTGTTTTCTATGCCTGAATTATAAGAAGCTAGAGATCAGTACCTAGGCAGCTGAGTTGTTAGTATGAACTAGTATGCTAGCTTCCTCCAGATTCCTAAGTTTTCTAGACCTATACTCTGCACCCAAAGTACGATGCCCTTGATGGTAGTTTATAACGCAACTGAGGCCTCCAGATTTAGTTACTGAAATCATTAAAGGCAAGCCTAAGTACAGGAATTAATGCTTCTGCTATGCATTTTTTTTTCCCTGCACAGAATTGCAGCAAGTTTTCACTATTAAGCTTAGAGCCACAAAAGAGTTATGCAGAGCAGTGAAACAACTGAGCCTTTGAAGACTTGAAAGCTAAGAGTCTTGTATCTCAACAGGGAAGCATCTGGTGGTGTTTTGTCTCGTGACACCTATTCTGACAGCTCACAGCATCTTGAATTCCCACCTGCATTGGTCTGGATTGGTTATTACAGCAGGCTCATCAGCTACTAGAATGTGCTGTTAATTTACCCTACAAAAATTTAATGACTTTAATGTATATAGCTGAGACATCCAGGTGCAGATTTCTCCTACTGGAGTGCTATTATAAGCACCATATGAAATCAAAGAGAAAACAGTTAAACATTTAAAACCCCTACTAGTTAGCCAAAACCAGTGCTCCCAGTTTTCTCCTCTAAAAAAAAAAAACAAACAACACCAGCCAACAAACAAAACAACCCAAGAAACAAATAAAGAAATAAACAATTAAGTCTTCAGTAAACTTAATTTACTGCAGAAACTGAAGAAAATTTTATGAATACTGACCATGAAGCCTGGTAATAATGGCTGGGTAAACTTTGTTCTGAAGGTGTATAACAGCTCCTTTGAGTTTGCATTATAAAATGAAAGCTGACCTAAAAGAGACAGAAAACAAACTGAAATACATGCTCAAGTTACTATGTGTTACTGTATGACTTTTTGTAAAGTTCACTGTTCCATAGGGAATGATTTCCAGAACACAATAAATACAATCTACATTGACTAGAAAATTCTCAGTAGCTCAGTATCTACATAGATGAACTCAGGTAATTTGAGATTACAAGCATTATTACACAAACAGGTCAGGGCCTTATTTTCATAAGAGACTGTATCAGTCTTGAAGCAATGTACTACTTTAGCCTTGTACTGTTTCAGCTTCACACAGGTAGCCAAGTTTTTAGATTAAGATTATAATTTACCTCCATCAAAGTCGCAGTATACTCCTACCCTGTCTGGAACAGATATATCTAGAGTCTTTGTTTTGTTATTGTGTTTTGCTGAAAGTATAGTTTGCAGCCAGTTGTTGATATGGATGCACCAGCTTGAACTAGTCTTTCCCAGCTGATCAAATTTCCCCAGGTTTCTATAGGTTACTCCCACACTGTATGATTTGCAGTCCTTTTGGGCTTTCACCTCCCAGTAGTGCTGTCCACTTTCAATAGTGGTGTCTCCTACCAAAAAAAAAAATAAATTAGTTGCTATAATTAAGTGCACCTTACAATGCTTGCTCCCTTGTAGACACCAGTAATGCCTTCTCTGTTTTACTTCAAGATGAAATACAAAAATGTGAACTATAAGGAAAAAATTAATGTACAAGATGACAGAATACAAAATAGAATAACGAAACAGTTTTACTTACACTCAGTAAGATGCACTTAACATCAATTCCCCATTTAGTAGCAGTGAATGTCAGTGACTAAAAGCTTTGTAATAGAGAGCTTCAATAGACTTGAAAACCCTTGCTGTAGCACAAGATTCTGGTGTTATATAGGCAAAACCACCTACTGACAGCATCAAGTACGCAGCCTTGAACAATCACATATCCTAATCTGCCATTCCAAAGCAGTATGCTGTGGAATTTTTTTACTTCTAAGAAAAGTAAAAAGTTCACCTTACCTAACACTGTGTATGATTCACCAGTAAAACGGTCTCTGCCGCCCCTCGCTGAGGGTCCAACAAATGTCCTCTTTGGAGAAAGTGCACCACTTCTAAGAAGAAATGAATTGTTCATGATTGGCACCATTACAGAAATGCACACTCAAATTTTCCCCAGAGAGTTAGGGGGCAACAAACATACATAAAGCTGACACATGAGTTCAGCCACTTAACACTTCTAATAGTATGCATGCACAAGAACAGAGAGAAAAGACAGCCAGAAAATACACAAGACATTGTAACAGACAAGTTTGGAGGTAGGTGAGAAAGGAAATAGCAGGAGAAAAAAAAAGCCGATGTGGGGCACATGGTTTGAACCAACACCTGTATAAAAGTGTTTTACCTGTGCTACACAGTATCTTGGAGAACACGTTTGTGGTTCTCCACATTAGATTTCTGAAAAGTCTTGTAGACCAGCTACAATCGGGTAAGCATGAACACACCAGGCCAAAATGCCTAATTATCACTGGAATTTTAACAGCAGTGAATGAGAAAACAACACCATTTGCATTAAAGGTATTTTTTCAGAACATGCATGGCTTGTATAAGCAGTGACTGAAATCCCAGGAAAGAGTGTAACCCAATGAAGAATGAAAGGAATAAAACTGTAATAATTTCATTTCAAAATACACAAAGGGGTGTTGAAGCTAAGCACAGTTTATACAAAAAAAAACAACCAACTGAGTGAGACTTCTGGAGTTTAGTGCATCAGAATTCTAAAAAAAAAAAAAAAAAAAAGCAACAACCCCCAAAAAATCCCAAACCACCCAAACACCAAAAGGGTGGGGTTTTATTTGATTATATTAACTCTGTCATAGACTACAGAAAATACAACTGTGTCACAACATATTGTGCTAGGAAGCACACAGCAACCCCTTAAGAGTCATTATAAAATTTAAGAGTCTAATCCCAATCAAGAAAGGCTTAGGGTTAGTTAACTTTTCAAAAGCATTCTCAGGAAGCAACAGCAAAATAAATGGAGACACACTTTGCTCTGGAGAATATTCTAATGAGTAATCAGATGCATAAAACAATAATTTTAACATAATGAGGTTTTCAAGCATTCTATTTTACCTCAGTTATGTCCTCAAAAATAATTCCTAGCAATTTAACCATTAAAGAAAATGAAGGCCATTTGCAAGTTACAGCAAATATTAAGCCTCAGTAGCCAGGGAATTATATCTGGTTATTGTTTTAAAGGCACTTAGTAGCAAAGAATTTTAACTTCTCAGAAACAGCTATGCAGTTTATACAGTCTACAAGAAATCACCAATGAAAAGGTTGTCCAGTTTAGCATCACTGTTTATCATATAAATTTCCCAATACTGATCAGAAGCTTCTAAATAGCCTGTAAGTTACATGAAGGGGATAAGAGTATATACTGCAGGTGCACCACATCATGCTTTTGAATTTTGTTAACATGGAAGAAGCTGTAGTTTACTTACCAAAAGTTGAAAAATGATAGCATAAAAGAAACAAAACAGCAAAGCCAAGAATTAAAGCATAATTTCAGGGGGAGACATAACTCTCTGCAGAATCCATCCTGCTTCAAGTGCATCAGAGATCATTCACTCACCCAACAAAAGCTGCTGAAATTTTTCTGTTAGATTCAGTATGAGTTATGCAGAAAGCAATGTGGTCATTTAAAGAATCACTGTAAGAAAAAATGCCTGTGCTTTGCTAATATTTTCTCAAGGTTAGCAAGACATTAAAACATCCTCAGTATCATTTACTTTGTTCAAGTCTTCTGTAAACAGCCACTGCATGTGCTTTGTCTAATCCAGATCCAATAACCTTTAACAGTTTAGACAATGACATCAAATATTTGGCATAAAAGTTTTGAAAAAAAACAGAAACAAAACCAAACAATTTGGGGTTTGTTTGGTTTTGGTTTTTTTTGTTTGTTTGTTTTTATTTCTGAGCACTTAAAGAAATTTCAGGCAATTTTATAGCAATCCCAAGCACAATACAGGCTGGGCAGAGAAGGGATTGAGAGCAACTTTGACGAGAAGGTCTTGGGGGTGTTGGTCTATGAGAAACTGAACATGAGCTGGCTTCAGTGCACGCCCACAGCCCAGGAAGCCAACCATACCCTGGGCTGCACCAAAAGGAGCGTGACCGAGGTGATCCTGCCCCTCTACTCTGCTCTCACGAGATCCGACCTGCAGTACTGCATTAGCTCTTGGGCCTCCAATATAAGAAGTGGACCCACTGGTGTGAGTCCAGAGGAGGACCATGAAGTTGCTTACAGGGCTGGAACAGCTGAGAGACAGGTTGAGGGAGCTGGACTTGTTCAGCCTGGAGAAGGCTCTGGGGAGACCTTATAGGAGCATTTCAGGGGCCATAACCTAAAGGGGGCCTACAAGAAAGCTGGACATGGACTTTTTACAAGGGCATGTGGTGACAGGACAAGGGGGAATGGCTTTAAGCTGTCAGAGAGTACATTTAGATGAGACAGTAGGAAGAAATTATTTACTGTGAGAGTGGTGACGCACTGGCACAGGTTGTCCTGAGAAGTTGTGGCTGCCCCATTCCTGCAAGTGTTCAACGCCAAGCTGGATGGAGCTTTGAGCAACTTGGTCTAGTGGAAGGTGTCCCTGCCTGTGGCGGGGGTTGGAACTAGATGAGCTTTAAGGTCCCTTCCAAACCAAACCATCCTATGATTCCATGAAATTGATACACTTTGTGTAGCAGAGCTCTCAGCACTGGAGATTTACTGCTGATGCCAAGTCAAAAGACAGATCCACCCAATGGATGAATAGAAAGGAGTAAAACCTCCTAGAAATTAGGAACCTGAGCCCTTGTTTTGGTTCCACAGCTTTTAAACCAGTGAAAACGCAAGTCAGCAAACCAGGAGAAGTAATTTTCTATCAGGATTTCTGTTAGAAAAATTATGGGGAAAATTCCACTAAAAACCACAACTACACAACAAATAGAGTATTTTAGCTGCTATTACATATCAAAAAGAGAAGTGCTCTTATTTGAGCAATTGGTTCCACAAGTAGAGTTGCCATGAAGCTTTTCACACATGCCATTAAGCTACATCTTCTCCTCTCTGAAGTGTGAAAACAGTGATTTATTTTCATCTGATCTCTAATAACAGTTATAGCACAAGTTCAGAGGCAAAAAGGTAACAAAAAAAATTAAAGCTCTCAAAAGAACTCTTTGTTGTGTTTGTAAAATTTGAGTGTGCCATAAGGTTAACTATCTATAGGTCTGTAGCAGGGATATTTTTATCAACATTAGAATACATAAGGCTCTTTCAACCATTGCAATCAGGTCTTCTATACACTAGGTAGGAAGCATGCTTCCAGGGAGACTGTTTTCCAGTCACTGAAAAATATACACATAATCTGTGAACAAAAATAAGACTTCAGAATAATTTTAAATGTATTCATTACTGATATATTTTAAATGTATTTATTACTGATAAAGGTTATTAGACTTCTCACTACATCAAGCAAAGCAAAGTAGAATGGACTCGCAACAAAATCAGGTGCTAGATCCTACGAGTGAGAGGTATATTATCACCTTCTACTGCTCTTCAGCAGAAGATTCTGGCCACTGTCAACAGAAATAAATAGCCATTAAACAACTGCCCTATTACCACACTAAATTACGCCACTTTTAAGATGCCACTAAAACTTACTCTACCATGCTTCTGGCAACATATGCCTATAGGGAAGGTATTTGTTCATAAATTAACTCAAGCAGCACTCTACACCCCAGAGTGCATGTTGAAAGTCAATTAACTGTCTTTGAGAAAGTAGCCAGTTCAGTGAACAAGGCAAGAGGAAGGGACACTGTTCACACCTTGACTTTGGCAAGGCTTTTGATCCATTCCAACACAGCATCCCCAAACCTCAGGAGTTGAGATACAGACTGGGTAGTGGGCCATAAGCTGTGTACAGAACCAGCTGAACAGCAGGCTCACAGCTGTGGAGAGTATTCTCCAAATGACAGAACCCCATGCACAAGACAGGCTGGGAGACAACTGAGGGAAGAACAATTCTGCAGAAAGGCAGCTGGGATTCTTGGTGGACAACAGGAACTGACAACATACTGCACTGTGCCCTTGTGGCAGAGGTGATGAGTGACATTCTGGGCTACCAACAAGACAGCAACCATGAGGCCAAAGCAAGTGACTGTTCTTCTCCATCTGGCAATGAGCCTGTCCATTTACTAAGCCTGAAGTCCTGTGTTCAGGTCTAGGCTCCTCAGGATCATATACTAATTTACTAGAGCAAGTCCAGTGGAGGGCTAGCAATGCAATTAAGGGACTGGAGAACAGGAAGACAACTGACTTTGCTCAGGATCAGAAAGAAGAAAGCTAATTGCTGTCTTTAAGAATGTAACAGGAAGGTACAATGAAGATCAAGCCAGGCTTTTCTGAGAGGCGTGCACACTGATAGCTGTGGGGCGCCTGGTAATCATTGTACCACAGGAAATTACAACCAGGTTATCAGGATATTCATTCCCTTCCATGAAGGTGGCCTGGACTAGAGGGCCAGTGATAACATTTAGGGAACGGTAAAAACTGCTGTGCAAGAGCAGCTGGGACACAGAAGTGAGAATATAGCCACCCTGCTATAGCCAGCCCATGGACAACCCCATGCCAGAGCAGACAGATGTGCCCTAAAGAAAGCTGCAGCCCATGGACAGAGCCCACACTGGAAAAGGCTTGTTAGCATGACTTGTGGCCCCACAGGGAACCTACACATGAGCAGTCTGTTTTTTAAGACTCCACCACACGGAAAGGGCCCAATGCTGGAGCAGTTTGTGAAGGACTGTCTCCCTTGAATGGGACTCCATGCTGGAGCAGGGGAAGAGTGCGAGTAGGAAGATGCAGCAGAGAATGTGTGATGAGCTCACTGAAACCCCTACACCTAATTCCCCTGCACTGCTTCTGGGGAGGAGGTAGAAAAGTTGGGAGTGAAGTGGAGCCTGGGAAGAAGAGAAGGATAGGGAGAAGGTATTTTAAGATTTGTTCTTATTTCTTACTATCCTACTCTGATTTTTGATATGCAATAATTTAAGATTTCCCCAACTCAAGTCTGTTTTGCCCACTACAGTAATGGCAGAGTTATCTCTCTGTCCTTATCTCAACCCACAGACCATTCACTGTGTTTTCTCTCCCACTGTCTAGTTGAGGAGAGACAGCTTGGTGGGCACCTGGTGATTAGCCAAGGTCAACCCACTACAAATAGAATTTAGTTCTTTTTAAAATAGACTGCATGATTAAGGCACATTTCTAATAGCCTCCATAAACAGCCTCTGCATCTCTCTGACAAAAAAAGGGAAATAAAAATTTCTTCCAGATAAAGATTTTTGAACGAAAATTCCTTTGGTTTCCCAATGTCCTCAAGTGATTTTATTCCTCCTGCCCACTTGCTTTAACTGCCAGATGTTACATTCCAGACAATGTAAACATTTACAAAACAGTTCTTACCTGCTTTTATTTTCCTTCCCTTTTATTTTTAATTGGCCTTTACCTCCAGTAGGGTCCCATTCAACATAGGTGTCTTCAACTTTCAAGTTTAGATGAGATGAGGTACTGTCCAAACTGAACACAAATGCTGATTAAGAGAAAATGTAAGACAGTGAAATGGTATAATGCTCTCTCCCAACCAGTGGCTATTCATAGAAAATGCCAAAAGCACTAGTAAAGCTGTAGCAGAGTACTGTTCAACTTCATAGAAACATTAGCTTTTTAATCTGGTACTTGTAATCAAGGTAAGGAGCTCTTTAAATAAAGCCCAACTACCTACCTTCAGTACACAGGTTAAATCAAAGTAAGGTTTTCTTCATTTTTATAATGCTGCAATATCAGCAATTAAATTCAGCTAGTGCTTTCTACTAGTTACAGCTTACTCCCTACATTCTTGCAATCATGAATGATTTAAACTGGTATGCTTATTTTCCATACCCTGCAGTACTAACTCTAAAAAGGTGTTTATGATTAATAAGCACTGCAAACTTGGAGAATACTGAACTGACAGCGTAGCACATACAGAGAGAACTGAACTGTGAAGTCAGTTGCAGATACAAGACAGCACAGGATGCATGCAGCTAGAAGACACTTCGTATTCATTGCAGCCAAGTCCTTCATCCAGTAATATGAAACTAATACAACATGCCAAGTTCCCTAAAGATATTTATTTACAAACTATTCTGCAAGTGTCCTAATATCATATTATACTCTGATTCTGAAAGAAAGCATACTTGAGATTTTAAGAGTTTAGAGCTTAACAGTACCCAGGTCTGAAAAACAATAAGGTAAACTCATAGACAAGGATACTGAATTCCTATAGGCTGATTATTAAAGAAGGTGAACTAAATGCTCTAACAGAAATAATGAAAATATGGAAAGCATAACTGCCCAAACAATTAAAATCAGGATTATTTTTCTGGTACTGGAGTAAGGAATACAAATGGCTATTAAAAGGATACTATAAATCTGACAATTACTGTTGCTTCGGAGTATTAAAAGCATTTTAGAAAAGTTACCAAAATGCCCACCAGTTCATTCAAACTGCATACAGCTTTGTTTTCATGAAGCAACCTTCACACTCAACTTACACTTTAGGTATTTTAGATCATCCATTTTCCCTTCACACTATAGCTTTGGCTATAAATTAAGGCATCAAGATCTTTGTCTCCATCATAATAGTTAAGATGTGTTCTGCCAAAATATCACTTCCAAGATATTTTTCATTTAGTTTATTTACAAAACTATGTTAGGAAGCCACTGCCCTCAGACCAACTGATTTCTAACAAAATGACTTAATAACTTGAGCAATTTGGAACTGCCTGTTTTTTTTAATATTGGCAGTGATTAGAATCTATAGCTACAAAGTAGCTAAAAAAAAAAAAAATGCTTTTCAGCCCTTTCTATTTACAGGAAGCTATTACCCATCGTTACCCATCACACCTTAAGTTCAACTATACCAACCGTTTAGATGCCCCAAGAGTCCTACTGATGTTCAGCCACAAAGTTCCTCTTCTTTTGCTATATCATGATGTGGCAGCACATAGTCAATCCACGGTTCAAAACTACCAATACCAAGCTCTGTTAGGGAAGTTACATCACTATCTCATTTTTAGTGCTTGAACACTAAAAGGCCAGCTTTATTTTCCTTTTCACCTGGGACACGTTTCAGCAGCGCTCATGCAGAAACAGGTCTACCATACAAGTTTATATATGAAGACAGAACAGTAAGTCTACAGTTTCACTACATCTAAGGTTAGTTTCTCAAATTTTACCTTTGGTTTCCAGAGTCACAGGATCAGAGTATTCCCCTGCCACGGCTTTGTTGCAAGCTTTTACTCTAGCATTCACATATTTCTTATCAAATTTCAGACCTAAAAAGTGAATGTTCAGAGACTTGAATTGATACTAATTACTGACAACTTTTACAAGACTAAGATCTATTCCATGTAGCTGTCTTCCATTTATATCAAACTACAACTTTTTTTTTTTCACGAGATCTCAATACCAAAAATAAGAGGAAGAGCTATTATTACACAAAACACCTAAGAGTAATGTGAAACAATGAAAGCTTCCTTACATACAGGAAAATGGACATTCTGCAAAACTTCCAAGCATTAAGAATTGTATCAACATTCCTGATTTTTTTAAATATAAAACAAACCTTTACCTGATATTGTATATTCGGTAGCTTTAATACTGTCAATCACTTCCCAGTGCTGTTCATCTTTTACTCGAGGAAGGCCTCCAAAGTTGGTTTTCCTATACTCCAGTACAAAATGATCAATTCTGCTGTCTTCTTCAGGCATTCTCCATGATACTGTTATGCAATTATCAGCAACCACACAGGCTGCTGTATCTATCTCTGGAGCTCTAGGGACTGCAGAAAGACAAATACACAGATAGGTTTAAAGAAGAAAATGGACTGAATATTCATTTTTTCTCCTTGGATTTATAGAGTTCACAAGTTGCCCTTGGCCCAGTAACACACATTTCTTTTAGATGATTTATTCCATTAGCAAAGCATCACAGAAGACAAAGTATATAATTTGCACTTAACATGCAGTTTACAGAACAAATTTGCATTAGCTCTATACTGAACATTTGCATCACATTTTCCAGATGTTTTGTCAGTAAGTTGGGCTTGATGCCCTTCTGTAAGCAGTAGGAAGGAGCTGCTAGAGTGGACACACATTCAGAATAATGCTACACAATAAGAATAGCAAGAAGTAAGCTTACTGTGTTCTTCTGCAGTTATGTCCCAGTGACCAAGTCCTAATTACAACTGCCTTTATGCAGGTGAACCAACTATTTCTTTAACAGATTGTCAGCCTTGATTCCCCTTCACAATGACTGATGACAATTAGCATCACACTAATTATGGTTGAGTCTTGTAGAGATGTGTAATTTTATCACCCAGATATCAACACCTTCTAGCTACAGCAGGTCCACCTGAAGCAGGAAATATACTTTGTTTTACGCATACCATTTCATACCTCTCCAAAACTTCCCTTCATGATCTGTTCACATATTTTAACATAGAACTACCAAAATGCACCTTTTCACCCCTCACATCCTTGTGGTTTAAGCCAAGCAGGGATTACACTGAAACTGGGTGTATACATTTAAAAAGCTTTGGGACAAAGAAGCAGCACAGAAGACACTGAAAGCAGACATATTCAAATCTGTACTGGTTTTTGCTGGGACAAAGTTACATTTCTTCATAGAGATTGTACGGTGCCATGCCTTTTTTTTTTTGTGTGTGTGTGTATAGTTTTGATAACACAGGTATTTTAGTTACTGCTGAGCAGCATCAAGGCCTTTTCTGCTTCTCACACTGTCCACCAGCCAGTAGGCTGCGAATGCACAGATACTGGCCCCAAATAACCAAAGGGATATTCCATACCATATGACATCATGCTCAGCATATAAAGCTAGGGGAACAAGAAGAGTTATGGCATTTTGTCTTCCCAAGTAACTGTCACACACAATGGATGGAGCCCTGCTTTTCTAGAGTCAGCTGAACACCTGCCTGCCAATGGCAAGTGGTAAATCTCAACCCACAAGTTCTCACTTTTACCCTTCTTATTCTCTTCCCCTTCTTATTCTATTCCCCCCAAGCCATGGCGGGGGGGCATGAGCAAGCAAGCAGCTGTATGCATCGCTTAGCTGTCTGACAGGACTAAACCATAACAAATTCTCAAATGATAATCACATGCTTTTACCATCAAATTTCAAAGTCATCCAAAAATAATTTGAGAATACTACTAAGATCCCTTCTCAGCCAAAATCAAAATTAAGATGAGAAGTATTTCAAAACATATACCTGAAAATTTAATTAAATACCCCAACTATTTTTGTTACAGTATAAGATACCAGATAAAGAGCCTTCCATGTGTTTGACATAACAAAGTCTTCAGCGTAATTCTGGCAAGCAGTGTTCAAATACCTGCATTACCACACCACCAAACCTATTTCCAACTTCCCAAACTAGCAGATTAGTATTTCCTGATTTTTAAAGGTCTACCAGTGCTTAGTGCCATTTTGCCTGCAACAGTGAGCTGTTGGTATTTAGTGTCAGAGTAATTTGATAGCTTGGCACTACAGTAGAAGAAAGCAAGACTGATAACCAGCAAGTTTATTTTCCTGTTTACAAATCAAAGGCACAAACAATATAAATTCCTACATATTTGATAAGGAAAATGCATTTGTAAGAGGGTCATACTAAATATCATCTTCGCCTATACAAAGACTTTGTTCATGTTTGCTGTTAAATCTGTACACTCCCATTCCTGTTAAAAGGTGCACTGGGATCAGCTTACCTACCTTGTTCTCTTATCTATGAAATACAGACTCTGGGTGGCAATCATTGCTCTGGGACTAAAAGGTGAATTTATGCCTAGAGACTACTAGCTGACCACTAGGAATAATGCTGGTCATCTACTACACCTGCTATCACATACTGTATCTGCAGCATACAAGTGTGCAGAAATGTAAACTGAAGCTGCCAAGTCCTTAACAGATTTGGATTAGTGACCTATAGATGAAACAATTTATATCCCTGCCAACAGTATTCTTGTCAATATATTCTTGGTAACAGTCAAGGGCACAGTGGTTTAAATAGGAAAGCAATATGAATAAAAATACATGAAATATAGTGGTATACTGCACCCAAGTTTACTTTCAAACAGTAATAAATAGATGCATCAATAGACATTTTGTATTATTGTAGTATTACTGGCCTAGAAGATTGTCCCTGTACTGCATTTCAGGCCGTATCACTACTCTTTAAGGGACGTATTAGCTTACAGTTCCATGAATAACACTACTGCAGATGACTAGGACTTTGGAGTGTCACCATCAAGCTAGCAGGTACAGTCCTGAGAAACTTAAGAACTTCAGGAAATATAGAGGAACTGGTAACTCAAGGAAAAACAGTCTGGAAGACTCATCCTCACTTCTGAGATCAGTTATATTCTGAAGTTATGTAGAAAAATAAATAATAAAACTAGAAAACTCTTACTTTCAAGGTATTCAGCTCAATATCCAATAACTAAGAATGAGTTTAGGTACTCTGAAAAATTTGCTTATTAGGACGCAAAAGGTGTGTTTTTCTTTTGTTTAAATATGGTAAATTATTCCCGCAGTAAAATAAAAAAAAAAAAAATCAAACTGACTGCATACAGTTTTTACCTGGCAAAAATTTCATAGCCTGGAGCATGTGCCTTTCCATAGAGAAGTCCACCATCAAGTGAGTCATACTATCACTGACCTCTGGTTTCAGAGACAGGCGGAACGCTGAAGCCACAGTGACTCTAAAGTCAAGAAAGCAGCATTAGCAAAATGGATTTGCATTAAGTCCTACAGCCATTTTCAAAAACAGACAGCAGTCAGATAATCTGTACTGTTAATGTCAAACTGTGAGCCAAAACACTGGTCAGCAACCAGAACGTTTTGCTAAATAACTATTTACCAGTTAGCCCAGAGTCCAAAACAGAAAGTCTTCCTAATGCGATTCTCAGAATATGGTACAAGCTGCTCCCAGTTCTTCCATATTACTACATAAGAAAATGACAGAAGCAACTAACTTCTTTTACTGGTGAAAAAATTGGAAAAAAATCAAAATTCACACAACTTTAGACAAAATTAAGAAGCATGAAATAATCTAAAGCACTGCAGAATCATGACCTTTTTTATGCACTTAGAAACCTGAAACTTTAACTTTTAGTTTAAAAAGGCCAAAAGACTTTTCTGGTCAATAAGATCCACTCATTATCTCCAAACTGCATTTTCCACATATTAAATACTGCTCAGAAGGCATCTGTAAGTAGCAGTGAACAAGCTGAGTATTCTGATTTCATATCTACCTCTGATCTTACAGAGGATGAAGAAACACTTAAGTTGCAGACAGCATATTGCTCTGGAACATACAAGTATCTGATCAGTCTTACAAGAAAACACTAAACCACATCTTCCATTTCCATTTCCCAAATCTTTGCTCAGTTCATATTCTGAACACTGCTAAGACACCCCTATACTCCATCAATGACACCACAAAAAAAAAAAAAAAAAGGACAAATCTCTTGTATAGCTCTGTAACAATGAAGATACCAAGCCATGCAGAAGAATCTGAATACCACTGATTGTCAGAGAGATTGTGCGCTAACTCCAGGTGCATTAAGTAAGGAGAAACTATGAAATTCAGGTAGTGAAAAAGGGGAAGAAAACATGAAGTTGAGCATCAAAGACATAAGGACGTCAAGTGACAAGCATTACAATTTTGGAATATAAGATAGTTATGACACTAAACCAAACATCTTAAGAAAAACAGGTCAACTGATTTCCCAAGACATAGCTGATGCTCTGAAATTCAGTATGGGGTGCCTAGTAGATTTCACTACTTGGCCAGAGAGGTAAATATCACCTTAAGAAAGCATAATCCTCTGATTAGCAGTAAGAAAACATTAAATAGTCAACTGCACGCAGCTTTTTAACTTCCGTTTAAGACTCTCACAAGGTCATTATCATTCTTCCAAATGAAGAAAAAAATGACCTTAGCTTTTCTTTTTTTTTTTCAAAACATTAGTTTTGCTTTCTAAACAACAGTTGGAAAACACAGTTCAAAGAAAAAACTAGTAGAAATAGCAATTTCCTTGACAACAGGCAGTGACTTCACCCAAAATATTTCAAGCAGCTACAGTACTTCTTATATTCAAAGAGATATTAGCTAGAAAAGCCTGTAAATAAAAACCAAACAGCAACAAGATTCTCATAATTTAAAGGGACAGAGTCAGCTTGAAAAATCATTAAATTTCAGCCATCAAGTATCAATAACAAATCGGAAGTTTATTATTAATAATATATAAAGATTATGATAATGATAATAGTAACATAATAATAACGGCTACTGTGGAGCTCTAGTTCCCTACATTAAAAACACCTTTTTCTTTACCAAGGCCAACAGCAAAGAAAAACACTACATGAGAAGCATAGGAGTTTTTAGTGCTCTCTGAAAGTTGTGACATCACAACAAACACTTCAGAAAGAGTCAATGAACTTGATTTAAGCTGACTATGACCCTTTCAAAATAAATGTGTTTTCAAGGAAAAGATTAATACAAAGACAAAAGCGACAGACTTTGTACTGTACCTATCTTTGATCTCTCTGCCAGCCTTGATGCATGTCAGGGAGAAGAGAGAGAAAGTAGTTAGTATTTCCATGCATTTATCAATGGTGGTAACATGCAAGAAGGGTGAGAACAATCTCAGATGTACTGCTCAGATCTGAAGATCAAAATGAGTTTAACATTTTCATTAAGATAAATTTTCCCATTAAGCACATAAATAGTATTTGTGAAAACAGCAACAATTAATCACAAAGGAAAAAAAAATGGTATGAAGAGCCACACCAAACTAATTTCAAATGACTCAACTTTCTGGGTGTGACTATCTCTTCAGATTTCTCTTAATCAGCTAAATTGCTCTCCAACACATTTTGAAAGACTAATTCAACTAAGTCAGTGAAATTTAACTATTACGGTATTTTCTTTAAAATATGAAGTGCTTATTAGTGGCATGTAAACATGCCTGAGTTGTTTGTGTATACATCACAGAATGTATATTCTGACAAACTCAAAAAAAAAAAAAAAATAGGGGTTGTTTTCACTTTTCTTCTGAACATGTTGTATTATTCAAGAAATACTTCATAAAAGGCTCTCTCCTTATGCCACCACTCAAAACTACAGAGCCTAGTTTTCCTAGCATTTAAATGCTACCACTGAAGGAGATGCAGAAGTGGTGATGGCATATTTCAAACATTAAGTGTCTTTAGGAAGGACAAAATCCCTATCCTTCACCAAGAGGAACAGCAAACCCAAGATAAAATGTTACTGTTGAAGTAGTGATGGCTTAGTTATGTCCATTGAATCCATGCCAGGAGTTGACACTGCTACTTGATCTAACTGCTGTGCAGCTGAACCACTCCCTTTCAAAGGGGAGACAAACATCAGGTAGTTTTCCAACTTAAAGTCAAACAAAAGTGGAGGAATTTCAATTATTTCACTAAATATGACACACACTCAAAAAAGTAAAAATTAAAATTGTCCATACGTCCCTACCACAAAACCAACTTTATATTCCCAAAGTCAGAAGCAGAAAAAAACCCATGTGTTTAGAAATAATTTAGCTTAAGAGCTAGCTTTGTTTTACCTCAAACCAATGTTATTGTAAGAACTGCTGACTAACTCTCCAAAGCCATTTTAAAACAAAGACCTTCTTCATAACCTCTGTGCCTTGTGGAATGTGTGGTAGCCAGGACTCAACAGTCTACTGTAAGACAGGCCTGGCTTATCTCCTTTGAATTTAGTTTGCTTCCAGGCTGCAGACAATTATGGGTTTCAGCCCACCTCAGATGACCTGCCCAGCAGTGTCAAATCACATCCTGTCTAATCACCAAATCCTTCTATGTGCTGGCATTCGTGCTCTTTTGACTTTCAGGTAAGTCAATTCAGCCAATAAAGCCACCAGAAACCTAACACAGAAAAAAGAAATTTAAAGTAATCTTAGTTCAGTCTTATGCTAGTTTCTCATGAAACTGATTTACTGGAGGATCCAAAGAAAATTTCTGCCAACAAAAAATTCTCAGGTCTGAAGCTGCCCTGTGTTTCAGGAACATCTGGTATTCCTATTAGCAGAAAAACAGATTTAGCTATCTAATAGCTAAGGCAGTATTACCTTAAAACACCATATCCAAACGCATATTTACAAATGCGACTAGTATAAGACAAGTTTCAAATCTTAAACAAATTGGATTTCAGTATCCTAAATACAAGACACCAAATTTGAAACTCCCAGAAAAGAATAATTTTCCTAAATGTATACAACTTCAAAAAAAGGATGTATTAGATACACCTGAAATGAAACAACTTGCAATAAATTCAAAGCTACATTCTACCTAGTGCTCAAGAGCTAACTTAAGTTTTACACATCAGAATGACAAGAAAGAAAGGACAACTCAAACTGAAGTCCTAAGAAAAAATACTCAGTTTCAGAATTGTCACTCTTCAAGGCACATAAATCAAACATGACACTCAGGACACCACACAAACGTGTTGCCAAAAGGTATAACTGACATTAAGATTGCTTTCCTGCCCACTTTTTTAGATTGATTTATGTCCTTGTTCCAGTTAAAATTCAGAAATACAGAAGTAATTGGGTCTTGGATTTGGCCCCACTACTAATGAAAAGATTATGCTAGCAAGCCTAGGGTACTGACTCAGTTCATTTGTAGAACTGTTTCACTAATTTGTAAATATATTCTTCCAGTTAGATAAATTGCCTTGTTTACAGTCTGTTGTAAAGTACACGTGTATCAGAATCGCAACATGAGGCCCAAATCAGGCTCTCACTTATACAGTATATAAATGCATTAGAAGGTTGAGAAATAGAAGAAGACTTGCCCTGCATTCAATTTCACAGGACCTTTCAGTACAGCCATAGAGTTCAGGCTTGCAAATTAAAGACTCACAGGTTGCATAAGGTTCTGCAAAACAAGCAGCTTGTCATCCACAGATGGTTACAGATAGAATCATAGAAAGCTTTAGGTTGAAAAGGACCTTAAGATCATCTATATCCAACCCCGTGCCATGGGCAGGGATATCCACTAGACCATGTTGCCAAGGCTAGGTCCAAGCTGGCCTTGAACACTGCCAGGGACGGAACATTCACAACTTCCTTGGCAGCCTGTTTCAGTGCCTCACCCCCCTCACAGTAAAAAGCTTCTTCCTTATACCTAAACTGAACTACCCCTGTTTAAGTTTAAATCCATTGCCCCTCATCCTATCACTACAGTCCCTAATGAAGAGTCCCTCTCCAGCATCCTTGTAGGCCCCATTCAGATACTGGAAGGCTGCTATGAGGTCTCCACACAGCCTTCTCTTTTCCAGGATAAACACCCCCAAATATCTCAGCCTGTCTTCACACGTGAGGTGTTCCAGCCCCTTTATCCTCCACAGTGACATCCCCAGTCACTGCCCTCCCATTAATCTTGGCCCATAAGCTTTCAGTTAGTTCATTAATCCATTCTCAGGCAGAGCTCCACACACTCTACTCATTGACATAAATGGCTATACCCCCAGACCTCTCTTGTCTAAGAAGCCTGTAACTTTCCATTCCAATACTCCAGTCATAGGAGCCGTGCCACCATGTACCCCTCATGCAAATGATATATCCTTATAGACGTGCACACACCTCTAGTTCCTCATTTATGCCCCATACTATGGGCATACGTATAGAGGCATCTTAGCTGAGCTCTAAATAAAGCCGACTCATTGGCTGGAATGGCTGGATTAGCCCTGCATTGCTGCAAGCATTCACTGCAGGTGCTGGCATATGACTTGGAGTTTTGTGATGGATCAGTCCCCCCTACCCCAACAAATCTGATTTAAAGCTGCCTTCATCAGCCTGGCAATTGTCCTACCAAAGATGCTCTTCTCTTCCTTGTCAGACCTCATCAGCCCCCAGTAGACCTGGCTTCCCAAAGCAAGTCCCACGGTCTAAGTAACCAAACCCCTGACTATGCACCACCCCTTTAACCATCTGTTAACCTGCCACCTTTCCTTAGAAGCACCAGTAACTTCTTTAGTGGCAGGGCAACTGGCTTGTCTTTTGTTGTGGAGAGCTGTCTTGTTGTTAGCCCCCTGCAGAGCTGCAAAGCAATTCACTCTCTGCAAGTGTCATGTAACAGGACTTGACAACCAATGGGTCGCTTGCCACAGCTTTGAGTTCTGGCCTTCACACACTTTGTAAGTCTTGGTTCAGTTTTAGAGACATATTTTACCCTCACTTTCTGGGTTCACTTACCTACCATCCGTGCAAGTTTGCTTAACACTGACTGTTGCGCATGAAAAGTCATTACTTTCCCCTCCCCCATCACTCTAAGAGAAAAAACTTTCTTTCATTACAGATTGCATAAAACTTCAAGACTATCATGCCTGACTCTGCCTCCTCAACAGAGCATTTCATATGCTTTATCCATATTCTCCACATTCCTGGTAAGTTCACAGTACAGTAATGCAAGGGTATTTCAACCAAATACCAACATCCGCCTTACACATATTTGTTCAATGTTTCCTACCTTTAAGAACTCCACAGGGTCCTTTATGTCCAGTGACTGAGTTGCAAGTTCCAGCAGCTCTTCAGAACTCTCTAGGGCATTACGACATTGGCTAAGCTGATCCTGAAGCAAAAAAAGAAAGTAAAAGTAATTAGATGTATTCACGTTAAAAAAATGGTTTATAAACTACCAGTACTAGAACAACATGGCTTTGCTGTTTGTTTGTAACAGCTTAACACCTTATCTGATCAAGGCTATTACCTCTGACACATCATGTTAACTAGGACTTCACTGTGCTTGACAAGTGCACAGTAATATATGGCACATCTTATAAATCCAAAGGGGAAAAAGTTGGATAGGTGCTGAAGTCTGATTTAAAAATCAGATTTCTTTTTAAGGCCTTTTTCTCACACCATCAGGATTCCAGAAGCAAAGAAATGTGCATTTATGTGCACAATTTTTATTTCCAAAACTGTACTTCATCAATGAACTGATAGTGTTTAATGTAACAGTAGTCTTGAAAAAGACAATGATTATATCCCCAACAAGCTCTACAACTATCACAAAAACAATCCTGAAAAATCAATACTGCTGTATAACAAATGGGGATAGTAGATGAAAAGGAAGAGACAAAGGAGGACAGAGGAGAAATTTTTCATGATCAGCTGAAACTCTATTCTTAGTAAACTACCAACCCCAGTACATAAAACAGTCCACAGAGAACTTCAAGTATTACATATCATGTAAAGATTAGTTTTGAATACACTGCAGGATCCTAAACATACCATAGGTTTAATGATGCACACTTTAAGCTTGGCAGCAGCTTTTGCATCAGCATTCACCCTACAGCTGGTTTTATACTCATATTATACTTGGCTATAGTATCTTAGAACAAGTCAATAGCAAGTAACTTTAACACACTTCAGGAAAGACAGCTTGTTCTAAGGTCATCACTGCCTCAAAAGCAACCAACAGTTGAATCAACTTCAAGAACAGACCCGTCTGTGCACTTCAGAAGCACAACCAGTTCTGGCAATTGTGCTGAGTTGACCTGGGCCAGTTGCCCCTCAGATTTACTGTTCAGAGACAAAATAGGAGCAAGGAAACAGTCCAACAGGCAGAAGTTCATACACAGTTTCCAGATAACTTCTGAAGCACGCCATTAATGCAAGTTGTAATTCATCTACTACAGCTGCTCTCCTCTTTGAAAGATATCACATGTTGACGAACTCAGATACACCATGATACTCCCAAAACGTCCCAGGCAAACACCTCAAAGCAGAGAAGCAAATGCCAAAGGCATTTTCAAACAGATCTGCAGGACTGACATGGTAACTGGATGCTTCCATCAGCATCTTCCTGAGATGCACTTACATTTCCGTTAAATTAAATACTTCGTTATTAAAATACACTGCCCCCAAATATAACAATATTTTCAAAGCAAGGGTTTAAGGAAAACTTCCGGTTTTCAGCCAATCCAAGGAATTATTTTTGAGGGATCAGTCTAAATATTAAACCCTCACCCTTTTCCACCATATGTAGCCCCAGTATTTTAAGTTACAGCTTATTTTTCACAAGAGCATCTTGACAACTACAGAAGACTAACTACAGCACAAGCACAGTTAACTAAGGACACAAGTACAATAAACTAAGCAAGTCCACTCCTTTAAGCAGGATGTTTTATCTCACTGAAGTTCTTTGGTTTCTTCATACAAAGTTAATTTTCAGTTCCAGACAAAGATAATGGCTTGAATTAATACATTCAATGCAATAGTTTTCATGTGTTAGTTTGGTTTGGCAGATTGACTGTTGCAAAAAGCACTCTTGCAGTCCCTTAGAGGAAGCTTGGTCTGTTACAGAGCAAAGCGAATGTCTTCTGGGCCCCTGACTAGAGAACAGCCTCAGCTGAAGAACAAGTAAGGCACTTAACTGTGTCAGTGATTCGTAACATTCCACTTCTTTTCATCCTCTTCTGACTAAGCAGCATTTCAGCTGTTCAACACAGATACTTGATACAACTGTACCACACCCACAAGCTTTCAGAATAATTTGGCTCAAACACACCTGAGCTTGATCAAATTAGATTAAATTTCAGATATTCACAGAAAACTAACAGATACTAGCAGAAAATTTCAATGGTCAAGTTAAGTTGTCAGATGAGTAACTATCAGTTTTCAGTTCCAGAATAATTGCTTGCAAGATTAATGTTAGGTTTTCTTCACTATAAGGCAGAAAAATTGATACATGCCACAGCTGAATTTAATCTGCGAGCTGTTCATTGTTCATTCTTTAAGCATTTAAGTCATAAGCATGCCTGGATATTGCCAGACTTCCATCTGTTGAGACACTTCAGAAGGACTTAGAACAGACATATTGGGAGATGAAATTAAAAGTTAAAAAGTACACTTAGGTACCTAACTTCAATTGTGCACTGAGAAGCTCTGGAATGTTTTATACTCAGTCTTTAAGTATGGACATAAACAGACCTTATATAAAGAAGCCTGTGGAATTTGTTTCAGGAAACTGCTCCTAGAACTTCTTTAAACTGACTAGACATGAGAAGGTGAAGTTTGTCAGGAACAAGTATCTTCCTAATTCATCTACATAAGGAAATAGCTAGACAGCAGAATGCTGCAACTAGAATCATTTCAAGAAAAAAGCTGGAGAAACACCTTCTGCTTAGAAGTTTTAACTGTGCTTTGGCCCCAGGCAACCAGACTTTGTGAAAGCTAAAGCCAACCTGCTACAGGCTACTGGGAAAAAAAAAACAAAACAAAACAACAAAACCAAACAGACTTTATGCATGTTTCAGAAAGTTAACATTTTTCCTCTCTGAAACCCATCACAAAGATTCTTCTTCATGAAATTATAAAACTACAAGCTGCCAAAACTCACACAGCAGGTTTAGTAGCAGACACCAGTATAACCTGTTCCCAAGCAATTCCAATATTTCTTTCACTGTGCACGAACAATTTCCTTCATGCTAACTAGTGGAGTGGCCAGTTCTGTCAACAGGAGAAGAGACTTTGTGCTTAAGATATCTGATGTGATTCTCCAAGTTCAAGCCTGAGTAAATCACTCTGGTGTGTATACAGGTTCAGATGCTAGTATTCCAAACTGGAGAAAGACACCAACTTCAGCCCAGAATGTATTCATTAATTTGAAAGTAGTAAACGCAGATCGAAATCCTGCGCCTATGCAGCCACTCTCCACCTGTAAGCTCTACAAGTAATATCACTTCCTTTCTACATGGTGATCTGGAGCACATAAAGACACTAGACACCATTAAGTACCCTAGAAGAAGGGACCAGAGAAACACTTGCATCAAAGAAAATATTTACACTGCACTTTCTGCATTTCTTGCAACACTACCAAAATACCACTTTCAGCTGAAGTTTAAAATAGCACTTTAAAACTGCTTCCATTCAGCTGCAACAATTTGCAGATATAGTTACACAGTTACCTGTAGAGCCTGAATTTTATGAGCGGCCTCTTGCCGAATAGTGTTGGCCATAGTCCCGCTCATCTCATACAATACAGAATACAGACGATCAAATTCTTCATCCAACTCACTGATTGCACTAGAAGAGTTCACCTGAGAAGAGAATTGAAACTTGACTCAATTTGCATTGGCAATAGCGCAGGCCAGGCTTTTAAGACTGTAACTTACATTGTTTGGCTAAACATGCTTTGCCACAGCTCCTGGATACTTTGTCACTGCTCCCTACCTTATCAAGAGGTAAAAAACATCAGGAATGATGGACACCGAAGACTGAAATCCATGCAAATTCCACAACACTCAAACTTGCACAGAATCCACATACTTGGCAACTTTGTTCCATGCCAAAAGACCTTGACTTCCCTCTCTCATATACGTATATAGAGATTGCTAGATGTTTTTAAGGAGGTAGTCATATAGTTCCACAGAAAATGTTTTCATTTAATTCTAAAAACTGCAGTCTAGAAGCCATCCTGAAGACCTGGCTGGATGATTTCTATTTCTGCTGTTAACTTGGCCCAGCTTTAAACACAAAACAAAATTACAGTTTACTGATAGGCTAAAGGAAGCAAAGTCTCATCCTAGTGTAAATGCTCTAAAAATTAGGCCTAACTTAAGCACAAAATTTGCAGCTACTGAGAAGAGAAATAACATAGTTTTTTCTCACAAGTATCATGTACATGGTCTCATTTTTCAGTCTTCACAGCAGACCACAAATTTAAAGATATAGACTATTTCCAAATAACAGGATCTGAAAATTTTGCATCAAAATCCATATTCTCTTCCACACAAATAAAATCTTATAATTGCTTTTCACAAGAAAAGTGAAACCGTCATTCCTTTCTACTAGAGACAGACTTAAAAAGTAAAATGTTTTTTATTTGGTTCCAACATGAATATATATATTTTAAACTTGATTGTTATAGCCTTACACACTACCTAAACAGTTTGATAAAACTGGAAAGCTGCTCCCCTCTCAACTACAACTTATGAGCCTTAATATATATTTATACATATACATACACACATACCTGAACATTCTTTATTGTGTAGTTCAGGATGTCAATAAAGTTGTGAATTTCATCATTCTTGTTTGCTAGGGTAGAGACAATCCTTTGCAGAGTTTCCTAGAATTACAAAAACAAGTGAGAGAAGTTGTAAAAGAACCTTCTAATTTTGTTAACCATCACCATTTCACCAGAGATGGAAATTCATTACACATATTCTAGTTGTGGCCAATTCAACTCTTATTCTGATGGGATTAAGAATAAGAGTTTGTTCAATAAAAGAAAGAATAACAAAGGTCTAAACAGCATTCAAACAAACTAAAGATCTCCAGCTGTTAGTTTAGGAGAAATCACAAATCTATTTTATGATACACCATTTCACATGTTTTACTGCAACTCCCAAAAAAATCTAAACAAGACCACCCAGTGGCACCACACTCTGCCATATACAGCTTCTCCAGATGAGAAACCTAATGTTTGTGCAACCAAATACAGAACCAATAGAGAAAAAAGCTGGTAAAAATTAACCCAGAAGAAAAACTAGTTATTTCCTACAGTCAAAAGAAGCTAGTGTTTAATAACTAAGCTGACAGTTTGTTCTATAGACAGAATAAATCTGTAATGTTGATTTGAAAATTTGTCATTTCACAAGCGGCAAAATATTTTGGTGAATAATTTCTATATTCCACCTGAAAGTGACCTCAAAGAGAAAAGCCTACTGATAGCTGAGAAAAAGAATCAAGGATTTCTGTGGTATTGTCCTGGGTTTAGCAGTAGCAGTCATTTTTTCTCCTTCTTGGTAGCTGGTGCAGTGCTGTGTCTTTGACTTTCGGCCTGGGAACGGTGCTGATAGCACCGATGTTTTTAGTTACTGCTCAAATGTTTGGTCTGGCCAAGGACTTTGTGAGCCTCATGCTCTGCCAGGGAGGAGGGGAAGCCGGGAGGAAGCAGAGACAGGACACCTGACCCAAACTAGCCAAAGAGGTATTCCATACCACACCACGTCGTGTCCAGCATGTAACTGAGAGCTACCCTGAAGGGCTAGAACTGCAGGGTTGGACTAGGTATCAGTTGGTGCTTGGTCGCGCTGGGGGGGCGAGTTATAGTGAGGTGTTGTATTTTCTTCCCTTGTTATTTCCTTTATCATGATTATTATTGGTGGTAGCAGTAGTGATTTGTGTTATACCTTAGTTACTAAACTGTTCTTATCTCAACCCGTGGGAGTTGCATTCTTTTGATTCTCCTTCCCATCCCTCTGGGGGCAGGGGGAGGGCGAAAAGTCGGGGAGTGAGAGGGCGACTGTGTTATTTATGGCTGACTTTGTTTAAACCAAGACAGTTCTTTTTGGCGCCCAACGTGGGGCTCGAGGGGTTGAGATAACAACAGATCTCACAGGATCTGATCACAGTCACTCGTCACAATGCCGATTTACTGGCTCTCAAAGTTCTTCCTCTTGATCTCAGTTTCAGAATGTTGTAACTTACTTAGAGCAGGTATTTGCTGGGTTAGTGTTCATCAAGTGTGAGGCTTGGGCTAAGGCTCTTGTTTCACTGTACTTTATGGCAATGACTTGTAATACGGGCAGGCTCCAGCAGCAGGGCGGGATTCCCGTAGCCATGGACTTGTACCTGGCCGTCCGGCTGTTCTTCACCGTCCTGGCCCTCGCCCTCGCCCTCGCCTCCGTCTTCGTGAGGCCGCGGAGAGTCGAGGGGGAGCGGCCCCGCCAGCCGCCGGCGGCCGAAGCGGCCCGGGAGAGCGGCCCCGGGGACCAAACGGCGGCGGGAGCGGGACCGGAGGCCGGCAGGGAGCGGCTGCCGGTGGAGGAGGTCGGTGCGGTCGAGGAGCGGAAGGAGGCGGCTTCCGAGCAGAGGGAGAAGGCGGCGGAGGAGCCGAGCCCAGCCCCGCGACGGCAGAGAGCATTCCCCGGAAGCCGCCCGCCGAGCCCCAGGAGGATGCAGGAGACCACGCAGCATTTCCCGGCAAGGCAAAGGAGAAAGAGCTGGACTCAGGAAAAGAGAAGCTGGCGGTGGGAGAGCCGGCAAGCACAGCGGCTACACCAGCCCCAGTGACAAGTACAGCAGCATCAACTGAGAGTTCTGAAGGTTTTGAATGGCCTTTGGGTATCCCTGGGACCTGCCTGCTGATTGTGATGGGGATCAGCATGTTGGCACACACACAGACTGTGTTCTACCCACGACCATTTTTTATGATCTCAAAGGTTAAGCAGAGTCAGGTTTGTGTCTTGTCTGGGGTTAGACAACGATATAGGGGGACCAGGAGATTTTCCCCAAGGCTGGACAGTCATGAATGGCAGGGTGTGTGGGGCAGTTTGGGTGAGTACCTAGTCCACTGAGCCCCTCCGGTGCTTTGCAAGCGTCGGAGATGGAAGGCCCCGGCAACAAGCTGCAGAAACTGCTGAAGGGGACAGTGAATTATTTTGAGCCTGGTGGGCCCATGGCACTTCAGAGATGCAACATAGAGATGGACTCATGATCGAGGGGTGGACTTAGCAATGGACACTATTGCCCAGGTTATTCATGAGTGTGAACACTGCACACAGTCTCTCCTGCTCTGGAAGACTGTTACAAGAGATGGAGCCTGACATCATGGACCAGATAGACTCAGCAGCTTTATAGGGACTGGTCCATGCACTAAGGTTAGAGTGTGCTAAGAGTGATGGTATATTGAAAATGTGGGATCTGAGCATGACATGAATGGCATGGAATAAGGGAGGGTGGATACTGTCCTGGGTTTAGCAGTAGCAGTCATTTTTTCTCCTTCTTGGTAGCTGTGTTTTTGACTTTCGTCCTGGGAACGGTGCTGATAGCACCAATGTTTTTAGTTACTGCTCAAATGTTTGGTCTGGCCAAGGGCTTTCTGGGCCTCATGCTCTGCCAGGGAATAGGGGAAGCCAGGAGGAAGCAGAGACAGGACACCTGACCAAAACTAGCCAAAGAGGTATTCCATACCACAACATGTCATGTCCAGCATGACTGAGAGAACTATGGGGTTGGACTAGGTATCGCTTAGTGCTCGGTTGGGCTGGGGGGGCAAGTTATCGACCAGCAGATGGTGAGGTGTTGTATTCTCTTCCCTTGTTATTTCCTTTATCATTATTATTATTGGTGGTAGCAGTAGTGATTTGTGTTATACCTTTGTCACTAAACTGTTCTTATCTCAACCCGCGGGGCTGCATTCTTTTGATTCTCCTTCCCATCCCTCCAGGAGAAGGGGAAAGGCAAAAAGGGGGGGAGTGAGAGGGCGACTCCGTGATTTATGGCTGACTTTGTTTAAACCATAACATGTGTACTACTCCAGCTATTAAAAAACAGTAGATTCAGCTTGCACAATACATATTAAGGGGGGGGGGGGGGGGTGTGCCACAAAATTACAAAATGGAATATATAAACCTTTAGAATCAGTTTTAAGTAATATTAAGTTTTATGGCTTTGTAACAGTAGCAATGGAAAATTACTGAGGTGCATGATACACAGAAAAAAAAAGTTGAGTACAGCTAGAGAACACAATTCTTGTACAAGATAAATTGTTATAGTTGACATAGTTTTAAGAAAAACAGTCTAGAAGAACAGGACACAGGCATAAAGAATATCTGGGAATGGCAGGTGTCCAGGATGGGCTAGAGTTAAACCAACTGATAAGTAGGAGGACAGGAGGATTATTATGTCTCTGGTGCTAACGAACCAATTAAGCTGGTATAAGCATCTACTGCACATGCTTCAAAGGCTGCCAGAAGTGATGAAGATTGTTGGAAGAAGTAAACGACCCTCAGAGACCACCACCACAATTCTGTACGCATGCGGGGAACTTTCTGGAAAATTATGTAATCCATACGTAGCCTCATGAATATGTATGTATGCCTTATATATGACTATATAAGGACGGCTTGTGTAGCAATACACACGTTAGGAGGAGCTATGCCCCCTGTCTCCTGGCGCCGCAATAAAGAATACCTGTTGTCAGCTTGAAAACTTTGTTGGCAAGTTTGTTCCTGGAGTTTTCTCCGAATCATAAGCAGGAAAACAACATAAAGCACATGAAAGTGCATTTTTAAACTAAGTAAGACTACCAAGTCCAATTATGTTGAGTACTCAATCACTTTCTAAAAATTTTTCATCAATGCTCAGTACTTAAAACTACATCAAGTTGTGTAATTGTATAGTAAGTTCAGAACACATCAGCATATGCAAGTAAAAATAAAGGACAATGCAAGGGAGTGACTAAGAATTTTGTTATTCAATTCTGGCTGGTTGATAGTAAGTTCTATAAACAAAACTGATTTCAAGTTGCTCAGCTTAACATTGTTATTTGAGAACATTTAGGAAATTAAGGCATAGGGAGCAAATAAGCACACCTTTAAAACAGCTAGACCACCAAGAAGATGTTGTAAAAGTCCCTCCCATAAGCATTTTTTAAATAAACATTTGCCACTTAAATCATATTTTTTTCTGAAAAGCAAGAAAAATATTTTATCCTTACGCAACATCCACAGCAAACCCAGACACTATGTCCCATGTGACGAATCTCTACACTAGTCCTAAGCCATGCCCATACCTGTCCTCACCCCGTCCTCTGCAGTTTTCAAATCTGCAGTGATGTGTTTATTGGTACTCCAGCCCACTGTCGGTTTGCATACTGCCATGCTCACAAAGTCAGAGCAACAGCAGAAGTGAAAACTTACTGCTTTTACCACATACATTGTGATAACGTTATGTAAAAATACAGTGGCCCGACTACAACTGCAATGACTGAAATCAGGACTTTGAGGAAAAGAAACAAAACCAGATTGGCTTCTTTCAGAAACAAGGAGTACAGCAGGTCTCAATCACTTCATTAAAGAATCCATCCATTGTCTGGTTAAACAGAACATATTTAAGGGCAATTCTGCACAGATCAGAATGGCAGATGAAACAACGTTGTCCAACCAAGCTGCTTCTGCATTCATTACTGACCAGAGGCAATTGTTTTGCCATGTCAGACAGCCTGCAGTTAAGCCTTAGATCCTATAAACGTAACTGTCAATTTAGATGAACAAGAAAACTCCCAATCCTCTTTCAGACAGGATTTTAGGGCTTACTCAGTTACACCACATGGAAAAAAAAGTTGGTCTTCTTGTACATAGTACTACTGAAGTATGTTTGGAGGCTTTACAGCTTCATATGATAAAAGGAAAAGCTCTACATGGGAGGAATGCTTAGGAAGTCTTTGCACGATGAAATGCATAGCGGCAACTGAAAGATGACCATCAAACGACGTTCTCCACTACATCTAAAATTGAAGCCAACTGACCAAACAGATCAGTACAGCTCTTTCAAAGTAAGCTACCAGTTTCTCTGAACAAGAATTTTACCGGGTTGGGTCAAACTTGAACAAGTTTGGACACCACCTACAAATGAAGACGTAAAGCCCTAAAAATATCCACCAGCAGCAGACAGATCTTTTTCTTAAACAGCAATGCAAATAAAGTGAGCTGTTAGGAATCACTAATATATAGTATCTTCTAATGGAATTTTCTAATCATCAATATGTAATAGACACACATGCCAAATTCAGCACACTGCACTGTTGCTATTTCCTCCTTTAACAGGAATTTCTGAAAAGTCACTACAATTACATATAATGAAAAGGGTGCTAGAAAAATTACAAGCATAAGCAGCAGCTGATGCATGTATTCTAAGTTACTTCACAAAAGGATTACAACAGCACCATGCTCTGTAAACCTTCCTGGTACTTCTACACTGAATGAAATTTACATCTATTGCCTACTAAGGGATGTAGTATTTCACAGAATCTTATTAAAACTAATTTTCTCCTAATTCACTCTAGTTAGCATGTGTCAGATGAGGTCAGTTTCAAATTAACTTTTAAAACATTACAGCACTTTTATCACAGAAGTGATTTCTGGTGCTATCAATGAGCTTCATGCTGCTTTTCACTTTTATATCCTATTCTCACTCTGAATCTAATACATTCTTGCTAGAAAAAAAACACGCCTGGCATTTGTAAAGCAACAGAGTTGATGTGGAAGGGATGAAGAACATGAAATGACAGGAAAAAGGACAGGAAGCCCTTTATTACAAGCTAACATGTGGTGGCTTGTAATCTTGCCAAGAGTATAAAACTAGACAATATACCCTCCTTCGAATAGCTAGTAACTAACATCATATAGCATATGCTGAAGCAGATGGGCACCTCATAAAAGTTAGAGTAAACTTTGATAAACTAAACAGTTTACATCAGTTCTGTTTAAGAAGCAAGTTATAAACTTGTTCAAGATCGTACTGAAGTCTTTTGACAGAAGCGGATGCAGGACACAGTTAAGCATTTCTGCAGGCTTAGGACAAAATCCTGTGTCGTACTAACCTTCACATGCAGACTGAATTTCAAATTTACTTAGCCGCTATTACTTTAATCTTCTGCACTTGTCCACACATTGAAGTTGCCAGAGTTTGAAGACATACTTAAGACAATACAGCTGACAATAGCAAATTAACAAAGAACTGTAAAATAAAAGATCAACTGCAAATTTACTACTGTATTAAGAACCTCCGAGCAGCACTGAAATTCAAATAACAATGACGCCACTCAGGAACATCAACCTGGAGCACCCACAACAGATGCAGCCCTCATTTACTCCTTCTCAGCAGAGGCTAATCACACATAAAACAGGCAGGGGCAGGCAGACTCAAATAGTACCTACCAGGAGCACACTTTTTTTTTGGCATTTCCTATCTCACTTTCCAAAGTGTAGCTAAGTTTCAAGTAGCAGCACACAAACACTTAAGTAGCAAACATCTGTGATCTGTACATTTAAGCCAGTAGTTACCCAGACCCTATACACAAACCAGTTGCCAAGAAAACACCGAGGCAGGAACAGAAGCCTTTCTGCACTGAAAGCCAAAAGGCTGAGTCAGAACTCTTTCTGACAGAGTATCATTTTTAGAAAGCCCAGTCCTCTGCCAGGCACATCCCTGCTCCTCAGTGATTTCCCTGAAGGGGCAGATGGCAAGTTAGGGAAAGAGAAGATTACAGGGCAGCAGCCACAGGGGAAAAAAATAAAAAAAAACAAGAAACCAACTACAAAACGCTTTTATTAATTAGTTCCGTTCAACACAGGACGCCACCAGCGGGAAACAGAGCGGCCTAAGTACACTCATAATTACTTATGACAGGAATGCAGAGCTTGAAAGCGCTCTGCAGCAGAACCGCGCCTCATTACAGTACAACAGCCGCAGCGCCCGCAGCCAGCGTCCGCGGGGAAGCTTCTCCCCGGCCGTCCGCAGGAGCCTTCAGCCCGGGACGAGGGAAGCGCCTTCCCGGCTCTGCCGCCCTCCCACAGCGCGGCCGCCGCCCCTCCCCTCCCCTCAGGCGGCCAGGCCGAGCGCCGGGGCAACGCCGACGATGCGGGCAAAGGCCCTTCCTGCCGCCCGCCGCAGCCCAGCTGGCTAAGGGAGCGCAGGCGCACTCTCCTTTCCGGTCCCGGCCGCCGCCGGCACTCACCCTCTGTTCGTCCATGGTGCCGAAGGGAACGGAAGGAAGCCGCCACCGGGACAGCCCACGGGGAACTAAGCCCAGGACACGGCGCGCCCCGCAGCGGCATACGTGCGCGCGCGGCCCAACCCCGCCCCCTGCGCACGCGCTCTCTGCCCCGCGCCCTCTGCCCCGCCCCTGCCTCCGCGCACGCCAGCGGCACGTGCGCCTCGCCTGCCCTGCCGGGGAGGGGCCTCTGCGCACGCGCAGTGCGGGCTCACTGCCCAAAGCGGGGGACAGGGTGGGGGGGGATGCGATGCGGGGTGCTGAGGGTTCGAGTCCCGGCGTGGGTTGGAGGGGCGCGGAGTGGGACAGTCGTGTCCGGGCCGGGCTTGCGGGTGGCTACGGGAGCCCCTTCGTCCGTGGGACGGGACACCCCGCGTCTGTCCTTTATTTAAAGTGCTACTGAGCGACATGCAAAATATCAGTGTGTTACTGGCATTGTTCTCACCCCAAAGCTAAAACACAGACCCTGCACCCGCTACTGGGAAGAAAATTAACACTACCCGAGCTGAAACCAGGACAGAAGCACAGGGCATGGCTACTGCTATAGAATTCAGCAGCCTGCAGCTGCCGGGAGACATGGCTGGTGGTGGTAAACCAGCTGTAGGACAAAATGGTAACGGGGACTGCTCCGTAGGAACCGATCTAGCCATCCTTCCTGCCTTCATATACATCCTTTCTGTTTCACACCAGACTGGCAGCGAGGGGTGTCAAAGCTGGGTTGCGGTTTCACCTTCTTAGTGATGACATCCTTTCAGAACAGAATTTGTTTATCGTATATTCAAGAGGGTAAAAAAACCAAAAGTGCTTTAGCTGTTCAAGATGACAGTTATAGCTCTGAAAATGAACTTAGTGCCTGTATTTCTAAACACAACTTCTTAGGAGACTGCAGACTTACCGTGACCGTAATTCCATGAATTAAATGTAGGAGACATCGATGCCATTTTCCACAAACAGTTCAGTGGCAACCTACTAAACTCAAAAGGATTTTTAATGTCTTGGCCAGTGAGAGAAGTTGGCAGCTGGGTCAGAAGTAGTGCCTGTGGTCAGAGACCAGGGAGCCAATAACACCAGCCTCAGGGAGACGCACCTTTGTCTCTGAAACCCTTTACAGTGTGTTTGGTTGGGTGCCTATGTTGATTTCTGAAGTTGTGGGCCCACTTCTTAATTCTGGGTATGGATTATGTGGAAGGATTCAACTATATATCTTCCTGTATGCTTTCTCATTTACAAACTGCAAATGCAGGGGAAGGGTTATCATCAGGAAATTATTCCATGGTTTTATGGGTTCTTTCAGCGCTCTTGTGAACATACATTGAGCAGCAAAGTATCTACTAAAAAGATTTTCTCTAGAGTTGTTCTAGAGAAAATGTTCTTTATTTTGCATGATGAGAGAGTTTTAAAAGAGGAATGCCTGGTGAGGAGAAATACTTCAGATTACTAGAACTGGTCCTAACAAAGGCTGTAATGACATATTACTGCTTTATACACCGGGACATCAAGAAACATGGCAGGAACATGTGCGGATGCTTGGCAGCCCCTGGGAACCTGGGTCCTGAACAAAAACCTTATTAGGAGGGGAGCCTGGCAAGCAGATGGTCTGTAAGCTAACATATGAGCAGAAGAGCTGCTGGCAGGTTGCTAGAGGGGACAGAGAATATCTTCCAAGTTAAGGCTGTTAGCCTATGTTAGGATAAAAAGAGATATCACAGTAACAAGATTTAAAAGAAAAAAAATGGTAAGAAGTTGGAGGAGGAAGAAATACTTGAGCTCCCTAAAACAAGAATGGGCCAGCTTGAGTAATCACAGAATAATACAAGTGGAGGTTGGATTTAATCTGTCTTTGCACATTAGGCACATGAATTTACCAAATTTGTCTTTAAAACAGAGGTTAGAAATTTAAGGAAGAAGTTTGCCCCAGAGCAACTTTCTTTTGGCACCAAGCACACTGCTTCCTTACAGTTTAACGTCTGGAGCAATAAAGCAAGATTTAGCCTTACCTGGCCACCTCCTAGGAGGACTTGCGATCTTGAACCTCATGAGAATTACAATACGAATAGTTTTCTTCCAGCTCAAAGTAAAAGATTATGTCTTTTTTTTGTATTTTCTTCAAACACTAATTGGGTGGCAGTACTTATGTTTATTTGCAGTGCCAGATACATGTATGTATTGTGTGAGGAGGAGGCAGCAGGTTGTTGCATTTCTGTATGGAAGAAGGCTTGGAAGGAGTTAAAACTGATACTAAAACTCTGCCTGAGAAACCAAGCTAGCAAAATAACAAAGTAGGAAGATGGCCATCAATGGCCTTTATAACACAGGACATTTGTTTTGTGCTGGCTTTGAGAAAGGGCCGGAGCCTGTGATGACTGCTACAAACATCAGAGTCAGAAACCACGAGCACAATCAGTAAGAGGAAAATTGGTGCAGCAGCAGAGAAGCCTGGACACATCCGTGTATGAGACGGTCTGCCTAAACAATCTAAGGACAATAAAGACTTCCTGGGTTTCTTTTCAGCAAGTTACCTGAAAATACCAGGGCTGGATGCCAGGGTTTTCATGGGCCATGCTCAGAGCTTCCTGGGAGTCACTGTGGATGGGCTGAGAGATCGCGACAGTTCTGCTCATTCAGTGCTTGATTATCTCTTCATTACCTTTATGAACACCAAAGCCTCAGAAGTCAGTTCAGTGATGGCTCCTTATATTAAATGTAGTTACTGCAGGGTTTCCATCATGACTCAAGGAAGTAAGATCTGTGCAATGTCCTTCTCCCCACTAACAACTTCTGAACTTTCAGTTAACGCACTGAACTGAGAAATTTGGATCAAAATGCCCCCTGGTATTCCAAATTGGTAGGGGTGTGCCTCTCTCAGAGTGTTCTTCTTCACATCAAGAACAGAGGACAGTCAGCAGAGGAAAACAGGCTTTCCCACTGTTCTTCAAATCACTTCACTGAAGAAAACACAGTGAAGTTCTATTTATTTGCACGCAGAGAGAGCTGTGACTAGCAAATCTGCTTTATTGTTTCAACAGGCAGTGCATCCATAGGGTTAAAACGTACACACAAGTACTGCTTAGCGGTAAGACCTGTGTGTTTCAGGCACAGTACTGTAAAGACAGTAGAGCTTTGATTTTTGATGAATTTTATTAGCAGTTTTCCAATTAGAAAAGGAGGAGAGTAAAATGTGTTCTGAGACCTGAATAACTGATTTTTCCTCACCTGGAATGAACATTGAAATCTACTGCATTGCTGGTTTTATGCACACTAAGGCATTAAATAAAAACCCAACAAAACCAAAACAAACAAAAAAAATCAAACAAAACCACCAAACACCACAAAATTCCCCCGGATACTAGAATAAAAACTAACAAAATTAATTGCTCCTAACTTAATAATAATTTCATGCCAGTGTAAATAAGGTGCCAAATGAGTTTTTAAGTTTTAAAGTATTATTTTCTTAATTTAAAGCACTATAAGTCAGTGGTGAATCTTTCATGGCGCTGAATTGCAAGGAGGGAGTTTGGTGTGATTGGTAAAAAAAACACCATCACCACTTGTATGCCATAAATCAGGATAGGCAGGATGAAGTCCTTCTCATCCCATATCCAACTTGGCATCATCAGTGTTACAGAAAAGCTTGGGCACAATGACACATCCTCCACCAGGTAGCAGAGTGCCTGGTGCCTGTGCTGGCTCCCTCTCCTGTTCTCCATGCAGTCTTGGATATTTCTGTGGGGGAGGGAAAATAACAAAAAGAAGAAGAAATGCAGCACAGAGCATCTCCTTGTTCAGCCACAGGGCATAGATTCATAGAATTTGCTGTTTTCCCATGTAGAAACCTGACTTCTGTGACCGCAGTTAGCTGGGAAGGTGATGGATGGACAGCAGGGTCCCCAGTAGGGGGGGTTGCTGGGTTCTGAGCCCAGTAGCTCGCAATAGGAGAATTGCTAGCCTGCCCCGAACCACAAACCTCTTCCAGAACACCTATACATCCTGCCCTATTCACATTCTCTCTTGTTTTTTGGCTTATCCTGGTTTCAGCTGGGGTAGGGTTAATTTCCTTCCCAGTAGTGGGTGCAGTGCTGTGGTTTGAATTTAGTGTGAGAACAGTGCTGGTAACACACCAACGTTATTAGTTGCTGCTGAACAGTGTTGCCCTGATCTAGGACTTTTCAGTCTCTTATTCTCTGCTAATGAGGAGGGGCACGGGAAGCTGGGAGGAAGCAGAGGCAGGACACCTGACCCAAACTAGCCAAAGAGGTATTCCATACCACAGCACGTCATGCCCAGTATATAAACTGGGGGCAGTTACCTGGAAGGCACAGATCGCTGCTCAGGTTGGGCTGGGTATTGGTCGTGGGTGCTGAGCAATGGCATTGTGCTTATTGGGGTGTTTATTGGGTTTTTTTGTTTGTTTGTTTGTTTATCTCTTTCTCTCTCTCTCTTTCCCTTTCCATTATAATTAGTAGTATTATATTATACCTTATTTTAATTATTAAAATGTCCTTATCTGAACCCATGGATTTTACCTTTTTCTGATTCTCCTCCCCATCCCACTGGGGGGAGATGGTTCACAAGTAGCTACATGGTACTCAGTTGCCAGCTGGGGTTAAACAATGACATAGTTTAACTTAGGGCTCATGCAAGCTCCTGGTGCTCTGCATGTTCTTACAAAATTTATTAACTCCACATGTCCCAAAACTTGCTTGAAAAAATCTCTGAAGCCACAAGAGAAAATGATACCTAAGCTAATCAGACACCTTGTGTTCTTCTCCAGAGTGCCTTTTACTGTTAAATTCCACATTTATTTTCTCTCCCACTTCTTACTCCCATACCTGTAAGTTCCATACTCTTGATATTGCCACCATGTGTGACCTTTCCATGTATGCCACAAACCACTGCATACCCATATTTTAAGTCAGCTCCTCTGCCCATCACTAAGAGTGTATTTCCCTTGGGACAGGCTCCTAAACCCCCTGGCTCCCAGCCCATGCTGTGGTGCCAGAAGTA